ATGACGAGCTTGAAGCCAATCCCCCAGAAGGTAGTATGAGATTGAGGATCATCTCGATAAACTTCCAACGCCATGCCCGCGGACGCGCTCACCTGATCATTTCCATAGTCTGCGATACCCCACGAGTAAGACATAGTGACTCAGATTTTCTCCAGGTGATGCTCCGGGGGATCGTCGTCGGTTGCTCGACCGTCAACGTCGTTCAAGGACTAGAACGACCAAATGTCCAATACTGAGAGCGATCTGCGGCTGGGCCCGTACGACGGTCTTCAGTAGCTCCGACGAACCTTGAAAGCGTGAAAGTGGTCTCGAACTCTCGAGTGGTACCGTGTAGTCTTGGTGTTTTGCTATCAGGTATACTAGGTGTTGATGCCACGGCTGGGCTTCTTCTTGACCGAACCACAATCAGTCACGTATAGTTCTTGACAATCTTATCAATGGCGCGGGCGGCCTGCCTTGGTGTTTTCCTGGTGCCAAACCCCCCCCCCCCCCCTTCGACTTCGCATGGTACCGGTTACGCCGCGCTACGTCGTTTACCTTGCCCAGAGCATTGGCGGTGCTTCGGCCAAGACTGCTCGTCCCACGCAAGGGGATGTAAAAAGGGCGATGGAGCAAATGGAAATACCAATGCCTGGCACGCACGCACGCACGCAGTAATCGTCGCGGCCGAGTCGGCCAGATTGGCGGCTTGGCGTTTCTGTGGAGGGGCAGCGCAGCCCTTTTTCACTTTTCACTTTTTTCTGATTTATTTATTCTCTTGGCGGCGCTCATGTCTTGGCATCGCAGTGACCGTGCCGAGTCGGAGATTTCCGTACCTCGTTGCCGGTACTAACCCAGGTCCGAATGTGATTTATTCTTCAGTCTTTTGATACAATGCATTTGCGGCTCAATTGCCGATGGTGAAAATCTTGGAAACGGCATAAATATCCGGTGTGCAAACTTACTTGCGGTACGGTCGTTGGTACCGGTCTAGGTTGGATCTCACACTCTGAATCTTTTCCCCAGAACTCTCGGGTTCCACCACTTCTTGGGCGTTTGAAGGTCATGCGGTTAGCAGCGGCATTGACATCAGACTGCTTTCTGATTTCATATTGCTTCAAGAAGACGGCAAATGGTGAGTTCAATAAGTAATAAGTCGTACACCATGATGCAACGCGGATGTATTCGTTTTCTTCAGAAGGGCACAATGAAAGTACTGCTTTCCTGCCTGTATGGGTGATGTGTCTGCTGGAAGAGCCCCTGTGAGAAATAAACAAGAAACCCATAGTCAATTTGTCTGGTGGAATTCCGGATTATCAATGAGGCGTGAAAATGTTGTGTTTTGCCATTCAGTCGCTCTTCCACCTATCTATACATCATTTTGGCAATGGTCTCATTGACACGCATCTGTAGTATTGCCTAGTTAACCCCCTCGACGGCGCCTGCAGAAGGCCTGCCGGGAATAGGCCCCGAGTGCAAGCTGGCCTGTTCATCACGCCATCTAAAAATGAAGACTCGGAAGAACTGTCGGATGTCAGGCGCGCAGACCGTGAAAACACCCACGCCTATCTCAATTATCGACCACGTAGAGATTGGTAGCGAGTTTACTGATGAAATCCGGCCGTGTGAGTAAGAGCGAACTGCCAGGCGTCAAACTTGATGGAGGCTTTGAGGCTTACCTGTAAAATTGTACGCTCCTTGATGGTCTTCAGTGAGGAGTCTCAATTTGATTGAGCTGGCGGCTGTAAGACTGCTATAAGACATAAAGTCATGTCGTCAGACAGTCCCTGATCTCTAGTCGGGGTTGACCTTGAAGAGGACTTACAAGAGACCGAAGCTGAATATAGCCATCACGATCCGGAACGACTATTCTATCAAGCAAGTGCAGATCGACCTACCGTACACATTCATCGGTACGAAAGCTATGAGAAATGTCTATGTTCCGTCAGGCATATGGTCCAAATAAGTTGATCAAGCTCACACTCACACATGTTGCCAGGATCATCCAACCATCAGGTCCCCACACAGAGACACCTGCAACCTTGACTGCCACTCGCATAAAGATTGGCAGAGAGGCCAGCACGAAGAAGACCGCTAAGGTAGGGACTTGTATTGAAACATAATCATTGACTTCTGAAAGCCCACGTACTGTCCAAGTATAGTTCTGGGTGGCTAATGAGACCTGGTTAACTCGTAGCTCGCGCCACCGCATGGAACATGAGGTCTTCCGTACTTACCTATGGCGTTAGCTGGCAGGCAGTTACTCGTAGCGCAAGCATTCATGAAACTCATGTATTCTGTGTCATTACATAGACATGGGTGGTGTGCCGTGAGACAAGATGAGATGCTCAAGCCTTGAACGAGGCATGATTGCTGCCGTTGGGTATCCCGTTAGTCATAGGGGAAGGAGTCTCAGGTTTAGATGGTTTGGCATACAGGGCATGATGGAAGTTTATCAATCGACGGTGCCTGAGCTGCTACCACTCCGGAAAGGAGGAGAAGACACCACGGTAGCATGCGAAGTGGATGCATCGCGATCAAAGATATAGTCCCTCAAAGGTGAAGCTCCTGATGCGGCTAGTGAACCCCGTCCGCCAAGCGAGAGACAAGAACCCAACGGACCATTCGCAGGTATAAGCGGCCAAGGATATTGTGTTTAGTCGGATTGAGATACGGCTTGCAGTATTAGGGTTGTCAATGATGGGCGGGGTGGCTTGGGGTTGATTACCATGGTCGCGTTGTTGCGATTAGCAATTTGTTTGACGCGCCGATCGCTCACAGTTCCTGGCCAAGCCATTGGGATATCCCATAAAGTTGGCATGCGAGGTGGCTTGCACTCGCATAATTCTCTGAAAGAAATCCATCCTGGGAAACCGGAGAAGGTCTAGCGTTGTTAATTTGCAGTATAATACCGTATTATCTGTTTCCGGTGGGCATGTTCACATTGTACTTTGGGCATAGACTCGTCCGGATTAGCGATGTGCCGATGATCTTGTTGTTGTCTTGACTTTCTTGATCAAAGAGGACCCGAAAGTGCGTTTCAGCTAGGGCTCAAACTACAGACTAATACTAAGCATCAAACTCATCACCAAGTTGCAGATTGTCCTTGCCGCCTTCAGGGTTCCGTCTCGGATTGCTCCGGGCGTGGCCCACTTTCACCGAGTTTGTCCATCGGACCCGGTCCCCGATCTCCGGCCGATTCAGACTTAGAATGGGTTCTCCGACTGCGCCGTTTGGGGATTTCCTATCCAAGTCGTTGAAAGCCAATTTTCCGAACGCCTTCATGTGAGGTGACTTATGTCCCTCGTTCCATAGTCAAAAACGAAGAAGGTCATTGCCAAGACTACAGCCCAGCCGCCTTTGTCACCCCAATTCGCAACGGCCATCTGAGAACATTGTTGACCAAGGCTGTACGGCTACTTTGCGTTTACTTTCCAACGGAGGCCCTACTCATCTTCAACAGTTGCCATGCCTCAGCCAACATCGATTACTTTCATGTCTCGATTCGTTGGCCTACTCTCTTGTTCATCACAACATCGCCGCGGAACAAGCCCCAGAGAAACATTGACGTCAGCCAACCGGTCCAGCTGCCGTAAAGTCTTGGTAGGGAACCAGAGCTGACGCACGCAGTGGAGTCGCGCGGTCCAGCACTGCCGCAAGGCCGAACGATGGACCCCTGAGAGTTGTCTTGTCAGCAACTGACAACAAACTCCGGGGCCCTGTTTTCTCCAACTTTAACGCTTCCCGTCCGGTCCGCTGTGCTAAAGACGCGCCGTCTCCAACTACCCCTCACACCATCTTCTCAGTTCATCTCATCTCGTCTCATCTCATCAGCCGCTATATTCATAGGATTTACGAGGTTTTGAAGGTCTTGTCAAGGCCAAAGATCTAAAGAGAAGTCATTCACTCGCCTCCCATGGGATCCTGCTGTTCGACATCCGACGACTCGTCACAGCACGAACTCCAACAAGCACGCCCAGCCCCGCCGCCTCAAAACCAGAACAACATGCCGCCGCCACGCGACCACATCGTCACGCTCGAGAAGAAATGGGGCTACCACGCCATTGACGGGTATGAACTAAACAACAACACTTGGGGCCTCGAAAGCGCGACGTCGGGCTCACAGCGCACGCACTACGATGGCCCCAGCCCGCCCGGCGCGTCGGGCGCCCAGGGTATTTCCTGGTCGACGGACTGGGAGTGGCAGGGCGGCGAGCACAACGTCAAGTCATATGTCTACGGCGCGAGGCAGTTCCAGCGCCGGCTCTTGAGTGAGATCCAGGCGCTGCCGACGGAGGCCGAGTGGCATTACAGCACGTGGGATGTAAGGGCCAATGTGGCGTATGATATCTTTACGGATCCCGATAAAGACCACGCCAACAGCAGCGGAGAATTCGAGGTTATGATCTGGTGAGTTTGATGATTGGTGTCTGAATGTGGTCAACCCGCTGATAAGTGAATGTGTAGGTTGGCAAAGTTGGGCGGTGTGTGGCCCATCAGTGAGTCCAAGGCGCCCATCGCGCATGTCGAGATCTGCGGGCATCAGTGGGAGGTTCACTTTGGTTACAACCACGGCGGCGCGATGAAGGTGTACAGCTTCCTGCCCGTCAATGGCCCCATTCAGCACTTCAACGCCGACGTGAAGCAGTTTTTCAACTTCCTGAGCCACCAGTTCCAGTTCCCCCAACACAACCAGTACATGCTCGGTAAGTCTCTTCCCCATCCTAGCTGTTGGGCCACTCGAACTCCAGACTAACTGAATGGCCAGTTTACCAGCTCGGTACGGAGGCCTTCACCGGCGGTCCTGCACAATTCGTTGTGCCCAAGTTCATTGCCGATGTCATCTAGGTATAGGCACTAAGATACGGCCCATGATATTTGCTGCTTCATGATACCAAAAAGAATCCGTCATTAGACACGTATGCCTTGAAAGGAGGCACTCAATGCTTCTATAGTCTATAGTAGTAATACATATACAGTACAGTTTGAGGGAAGATGATTTAGCAACGTCTTCAAGGGTATCACGCAACACAGTGGTCAACACCGGCAGTTACCAACAGCCTAGCGTACTGCTGATGCAAGAACACCGCGGGCCCAGGTAGTGGAGCATCATTACCGTCGCTCACCCCGTTGAGAAGTATTGACTTGAGCTTGAAGCTGACGACTCGGGCCTGTCGGTCGAGGTCCGCACCTAGGCTTATGATACTGTCCAACTCGCGTGGGCCATCAGGCGCTACCCTGGGGGAGAGCCCACCCCGCAGCAAGATGCTGCTTGGAGACTTTTCGATGACAATGAAGTCGTCAGCAAAAGCCGTGCCTACTCAAGTCAGTGAGGGGAATATTAGAATATGGGCAAGACGCATGGCCAATATCGGGAATGAGACGTACCGACTGGGTAAGTGCTCTTTAATAGCTCATCTTTCTCCCAGAGGTCCCCTGCGTTCGACTCGTCTTTACGGGCCATCTCCATGATTTTGCGTTGAATATTGAATGCTTGTGTATCAAAGTCAGCTTCTTGCCATATCGCCCTCACCGCTACAGGCACATGCTCACCATATCGTCCCCAGACACCAGCAGAATACGTCTCCACAAGCTTTGAGCCTCCACTAAGCGCGTCCTCAACAAGATCCGGCCGCAACTTGTCAAATGGAACTGTGCGGTAACAGCAGTCGTGAAAGTCGGGATTGTTGTTTGGATTGACCTTTTTAAGAAGAGAGTGTTGGAAGAGGGTGTCGTTGGCCGGGGTAAAAGTGTCGTCGAACGCGCACTGACGCGTCCAGAGGTGAAAACCAGCGGCGCCTGTGATGGTGGCACCTGCGGCGAACTTGGAAAAGGTCGCTAACCTGGCCTTTGAGAAGAAGGAAGCCATCAAGACGCGATTCAATCAGGAGTTGGAATGAATGAAGTTGATTGGACAATGCGAAACATGCAAGATGAATTAGATGGATGGGAGGGGGGGCTACAAAATGGGGATCGTGACATTAAAGTCAATTCCTACGATCCAGGTACGCGGTAGAAATCCAGAACCCTTTGTCCGGGTCGATCCGTCCCATAACCCCGGAGGACAATTCTCTTCAAGTTTGGATCGGACTTCTTACCTCATTTCCAAGGGGTCTCGCGCTTTCGGCTTTCGGAATTCGGATCTGCCCAAGGGGGACACTTTTCTCTCACTGTTCACTAAACCAGAAGAGCGCTACTCTGCCGACGGGAGACCCACTCGGGCTCCGAGTCCGCCGGGGTTTCCGAGGGCGCCGAATGTTACCGGCGGATGTCGAACGACGCCGAACGATCGGACCCGTCAAATAATCAGATCTACCGCCTTATCGTTTAGAAACTTCACGATAGAAGAGCCGCATTCTCTATTTTATAAAATTGTCAAGTGTGGGTCTCTGGCTTCAATTGTTGCAATTCTTCCACAGTCGTACAGACAGTCTTGCTAATGACATGTAACTACACAATGTCCCTTACTTGAAAGTTCAGGGGCTCAAGGGCGAGTCACATCCTAACGAGCATTCACAATAGAGACTCAACATGTATCCAATGCTTTGTGTAACCTTTCTACAATGACAACTCTTGCGCCGGTGGTTTCCCTTCGCCAAACGCCCATGTCTGAGTCTGACCACCAGCGCTGTTTGCCAACCGGTCAACAACCAGTCACATGTGCTCGTGTGGCTCGCAAGTCAGTCTTAGATTCGGAATCAATCATTTCGGTATGAGTATGCAAAGATGACATTTCCCGGCAAATAGTGAGATCAGCTATTTAAGCAAGGACTGCCAACAATGCCAATGGCGCCTGTATATTGCTATTTTGTCATCAAACCAAAAACCCATTTCAATATAAGTGCTATTACACTTCACAGAAACCAATACAACTCCAACACGGAACTTAAACATTTCGAAGATTCTCACAAATTGACTAGAAAGCAGTTGGCCTAGGATGCCTGGCTATGCGACGATCTGCCCGAGATGCGGCAGTCCCTCATTCAAGCGGGGCATCTGCGAGCATTGTGGCAAGACTGGACTACCAGATAACTTACCAAGTAGCAAAGATTGAAGTCAATGGTTTCTTTGATACTTCCGATCACTTTCGTCAGGATATCATAAGTGATGGGACTAGAATGGGCTTAGGCGTGATGACGAATTAGTGGACATCGTGGTCGCTGTAGAAAGTGATTAGAGGAAGGTTATCTATTGAGCAGGATAGCCCGGCGACCCTAGTTTTACCAGTCAGTATTAGATGCAATAGAGCAACAAGTTTTTACTAATAGTGATGAGCAACTGTCTTCTTCGTGCTTGATCAGAGTGACAGAAATTGAGCTATCGAGAGTTTGGCATCAAGCATTGCGACCGCCCAGGAGGCACGGTTATGCAAATTGGCCCGGTAATTATACAAGCAGTGAACAACCATGAACATATGATTTCGATGATGGTCTATACTGGCGAAGATATATGTTTTGTATCTTTGATAACTCAGGCGTTGACCATACATGTATGGCGCCCACTTGTCATCCGTAGACCGTCATGCCTCTGCATGTCCTCAACATATCTGCATGGTACTTTTCCAAAGGCTGTGAATCTGCATGCTGACATGCAATGCTGCCCAGCACAAGCGGGGATGCACCACGTGATGCATGCACCGTCACGAGACGGTCAGCCGTGTGAGAGACTTTTCGGGTCACCAAAATCATAGGGAAGCTGTCGAAAAGCATGAGACTCTAGATTAAGTCAAAACAACTGTTATTACGAACCTACATGTACTCAATAGCATACTTCGCGACGGTGACAGAACCCTCGTCTGGCAGCTTGATACAAGATGGAGGCCGACCAGTTGGCCGTCAGACTCGACGATTTGAGGGCCATCGCCGATGCCACCTTTCGATTGACCTTTAGCTTCACCAAAAGCGACAACAAGTTGAAATCGGAGATCCGGGCCGTTGCTAACGAAATACAAGACATCGCGGGCTTGTTGCATCGACTTTCTCTGTTAGCATCAGGACTTGAAGAGACTAAGGACCATGATTCGGACATCAATGCTGCCCCGCCCCCACTGATCTCATGTCGCACCACCTTAGAACAACTAGGGGGATCGCTAAGGAGACGAACAAATAGATCGGGCGACGACGGATGCGAACAGAAAAGGTACGCCGATGTCAAGTGGCCATTTACGAGGGCCTGGACAACAGATCTCCTGAATGAACTGAGTGAGCACAAGAAGACAATTTCAGAAGGATTGAATGGAGAATCAATCAAACATCTGTTACAGTTACTATCAAAAGGGAAGTCTGTGGCAACCATACGTGACGAAGACTGGATATCCGAAGTTTTCACCGACTTTCTCCAATCCTCTGGGTATTTCCAAGGCATCTATATGGTCCTCAATACCTTTCTACGCGCCCGAGAAGATTCATACATCAAGATACAAGATCGATACAAACACTTGTCAATACAGTCAAGCTTTTTCCAAGGAGAAGACTTCGAAAATTGGCTTGATAAGGGAGGATCACACCTTCTCTTCACAGCTCCTCCGGGCGGGGGGAGAACCGCCTTCACCGGCGCACTAGCACGGGAAACCTTTCGGCGACGCCGTGCACGAACTGTTGTTGTACCCATCTACTTTGAGCTTCTAAGTGGATGGACCAGATGGACCACGGATATGAACATACTTGGCACCATCGTTGCTCTGATCGCGCGCCAGAATCAGGGCGCGTTCGAAGTCTTACGCCGATATCGTCGCGACCTAAATATCCAACCGAGATGGGCAACAAACGGAGCGAGCATGGAAGGACTGAAAGGTGTTCTTTGGCAAATGTCAACTTTCTTTGAACATGTCTTGGTCATTGTGGACTGCTCAAAGTCTGGCGGAGATGGCATCATACCGATGATCGCCTCTTTGTTAAAGACTTCCAAAGAATCCGCACCGAACTTTAGTTTGGCAGTGGTTTGTCAAGACCTCGAGTTTGTTCGGGAGTCTTTGGGCGAATCCGTCACTAAATGTGACATTGCACCATCCATGGCCATCTTGCAGGCTTTCGCTGCCACCGAGGTAGAAAGACGAGTCAGGACCGGGGCTCTGCGGTTCCAACGGACAGCAGTGAAGGATGCTACGATCCGCAAACTCAGCGTTGGTGACGACCATGTGTAAGACAATGAAACACTCACGAACCGTATAAGGCTAATAATCAAGACAGCTTCTGGAAGATCGCATATCAACTCGACCACCTCTGCTCCTTGCAGTCCCACTCTGAGCAGGTTGAGTTTTTGGAGAAGCTCCCATGCTCGCTGCACGACACCTACCGCTTAACGCTGGAAGAATTTCAAAAGCGGACGCCAGAATCTCGAAGCTTGATCCTCAGGGCTTTACAACTGACGAAATGTTCGCGCCACAAACTGAGTGCCCAAGAGTTCTGCCAAGCCCTTTCAGTTTCAGGCATTTCCGGGCTAGATCCTGAGATGTTGGAATATCCGGAGGTGGACGAATCAGAGATTCTGCGACAATGCAGTCCTATGATCATAAGATCGCTGGATGGCAACAAGTTTGCGTTTGCGCACGATTCGATTGAAAGCTTCCTTACGCATAGATATATCGACCAATCCAGCGATTTGGCCGCATATTGTCTCACGACTTCCGGAACGAATCGGCTTCTTGCTACCTGTGCACTCAAGTTCCTGACCTTAGGTCACTTCGCTCGACTTCCAAGCTTATCGTTGTCAGAAGTGGATTACATAAGGACCAGGAACGAGAGATACCCCTTTTACAGGTTCGCCGCACTGACTTGGCACAAAATTGATGTCAGTCATTGGCAGGACCCGGAGTTGGTCGTGGAAGCCATGGCGCTTTTTGACCCCAAACAGACAACAAACTTCAAGGCTTGGTGTCTTGAGATCTGCCGCCAACACAGAATGAACGGCGACTGTAACAATTGGAGAGGACGGAAAGACAGAGGCATAATCAGGAGGCCCCCATCTACCTGTTCCGAAACTACGGAAGTCAACTCTTCCGCCGCAACATGGTCGAACAAAGATTTAGGAGATAGTACTTCAGATACCCCACCTCATCTGGGATCATCATCCTCCGCAAGTCCTCCTCTGAGGAAGAAGATGTCCAAACGATCTTGGGCAGCAGGCCAGACAAGGCGCCTTGCACGTGTGCTAAGGCGAGGCGACTTTACTCCATTACACATGGCCGCTCTCCTGGGCATCGATGCCGTCTGCTCGGAGTTGATTCGAATTGGAGAAAATTACAATCGACCGAGCAAGATAGGGACCCCTTTGCAGTGTGCGATTGGAGGTACTTTACTCATTGGTGACCACGATATCCCGGCGGGCAATTCTCCATTGCCACCATGGCTCAGCCGACCACGTAAAAGCACTGTTGAGCTGCTGATCAATGCGGGAGCGGATTGTACACGAGATTTGCCTAGTCAGACATACCCTTGGAGCACTGTCGGTGCTTTGGCCCTGAAGACCTCAGAATGGGCTAGGAATTCTGAAATCTTCGCGGTTGTCGTTAGAGGAGGTGCTCAACTGCACGATGACATTATCGCTGTGTTCAGGCCGATCTGTCGCAAGTGGTCAAAGCATAAAGATACAGGAGCCAAGAAACATATTCAGGAAATCTTGGCAATCTTAAGCGGAATGGTCGATAAGAAAGAGGGCGAATCGCTTGCTTATCTCAAAGCTTTCCAGAAGGCGGTTTCGGAAACCACTGACATCGATATACCATTGCCTGTCTCGCAAGGCATCTCCGATGACATGATTGTCCAACACATGTGGAAATCAATCGACGATGACAACTTGAAAGCGATAGAGGATCAATCTCAAAGCAACACAAGAATCAAGGACCTCCTGAAAGGCGACATCTTGACGAAACTGCTCGACTTCGCTGTCGCATGCTCAGCTGTCAACTGCTTGGACCACTTGCTCACAAATTACATGGCCGAAAACGGCCCAAATGACTGGAAAAGCAAAGCTGTGCTTTATTGCGTCGAAGATGGAAAGCAAGAAGTCCTCTTATGCTTATTGAAGGATGGTGCTCAAACCATGAGAGCCAATGCGAGAGGAAGCACCATTTGGCATCTCGCAGCTGCTAAAGCTACCTCAACTGGAATTCTAAAAATCTTACTTGAAAACAGTGACGAGGAAGAACGAAAAGATGCCTTGAGAATGTTGAATGAGAGTGGCCGTACCGTGCTTGCCAAAGCGCTAGTCAGCAAACAGTACTCAAACGCCTCTATCATCCTCAAATACTGCAAAAAGGATCGTGCGTGCCTCAAGAGCAGACATCCATCACTACCTCACCTTGTGGCGGGTATTCAGGATAGCCTCTTACTCAAGGAGTTGCATGATTGCGAAATGTTCGAATTTGTGGCTAAAGACACGCCTCTCAATTACTTCCATATAGAAGATTCAGCAGGTGTGGAAGCGACTCGCCAACTCCTGGAAATATTTCCCTACCCTTGTTCCGACCAGCCTCCAACACCCTTAAGGATATACCTGTCAAGATCCGACTTGAACATCTACAAGAAAGAACTTGTAACACTTCTTGTCCAGAAAGAGCTGTCTGCCGCACCTATCGTCAACGGTATTCATACCTGGCAGTGGTTCTGCAAAAGCGTGCAGGGTTATTTCAGAAGAGCATCAGAAGCTGAGGCCTGGGAAGTTGTCGAACTTGTGAAGCTCATGGTCCATCTCGGTTGCATGGACGATTATGAAAAAGCTAGAGAAACATCTGGGCTGGTAGAGATCGTTCCTCTCTTTGATGTCGACTCAATGCCGAGGGCGTTTACACCTGACAACGACGCTGTACTTGCGACTGAAGAGATATTCGGCATTGTTCATGACACAACGACCTTACCTCAGTACTACAAAAGTAGTGGTATGGATATCAAGGTCATCAAGTGGACTATTGCTCACAATTCTTGGCACCTGTTTCGTCGTCTTATCCACACGGATATTGATGTTCATAAGAGGGACGGGAGAGGAAACTTGTTAGAGTACGTGTGCTCTCACGGTACCGAATTCAACGGTCATAGGATGCTCGCGAATCTTTTAGAACGAGCTGAGAAAGATCGTCTGAACGAGCTGAATCCCGACGGAAACCTTGGTCTCTTACACCTACTAGGAATGCCATATGGCAAGGAGGACTTATCTTCAGATAGTAGTCCCTTGTTCAGTCCTAGTTTTATCCCGATGGAGAACTTCAGTCAACCACAAGGTTCAGCTTGCCCAATGCGTTTAGGGCCGGGGGGATTCGCGGCATTGAGGATACCACGCGACAACCCAAAGTTTAGCATACTCCAACGACTGCTTGACGAGCACATGGATCGCAAGCTTCTCAGCAAAAGGGGTAATTTTTCAGCCTTGAGTACGCACATAAGATACTGTTATCTTGACACGGCACGCCTTTTACTTTTACGCGGATCACCAGAGACTCTCTCTACCTCTGACAAGTTTGGGTGGACTCCTGTAGCGTGGGCATGCGCGCATGGCTACAAGGATATCATCGACCAGATGGCTGCATCCTCCTGTTCTGAATCTATTTGGGACTTCCAGGTTGAGGTGACATTGGGTGTTGAAGCAGCTCCCTCATTCACAAAGCCCTACCGTGGCCTCTGCGCTCTGCACCTTGCGGTACTTGCCTCGGCAAAGACTGTGTCGTTTCTGCTGAATAACGGTTTTGCCTCAGACCTTGACATCACTGATGCACAATTGCATACCCCTTTACACTTTGCCACAATGTTTGGGCAGCTGGAAACCATCAAAGAACTTGTTTCTCGGGGGTCAAATATCAACGCTAAGGACTGCGACGGATGGACCCCCTTGCACTTCGCAATCCATCTCGAGAAGAAAGACACTGTTGAGCTCCTTCTGGAGCTCGGCGCGGCCCATATGGAGACGAAGAAAGGAGAAACGCCGCTCGATTTTGCTATGCCCAAGGAAGAATACTATATCAAACGAGTTCAAAGGTCCATTCAACAAAACCTGAAGACTGGCGCAGAAATTCACTGTGACAAGCAATGGCTGGCCTCTCTCTCTCGGACCATGGAAAAGGCCATCATTGACGGCGATACTAAAATCTGTAGAAAGATTCTTAAGGAAGGTTGCCCGGTGGACATCAAGATGAGATCTTGCCATACTTGCACAGCTCTCATATTCGCTTTGTCACGTAACGAGGTGTCTGCGAACATCGTCGACACCCTGGTGGAACACGGAGCAAGTTTCCGTGGAACTACCTGTGCCCGCCATACGTGCGGAAATTTCAAGCGATACGGTATCCGCCATTTCAGCGACTACACTTCAGACAACTCCTCATCTTCCTCATCCTCCTCATCATCTGATAGTGACGATAACAAAAAGTACCGGCAGTATGCCTGGCCATCGTTTGGATCTACCAGTCTTGACATGCTCATGTGGGAGGATGATTTGTTCGAGAAAATTTCAACATGGCTATGCTCCGTTCCGGAAGAAGACATGATATGGCTCATTGACAATTCCATAGCCGTCCATGTAGCTGTGGATCGCGGCAGCCTCAAGGCTCTACAGGTTCTCTTATCTCACGCTGCTAAGATCGGTGATGGTCTTCACAGAAACTTGGCTTATGAGCTTGTGAACAGGACTGGATGGCATTCTGGGCCCTACGTAGCCTCGCCTCTTCAGGACGCAGTCGATGCTTGCAACCTGGAGCTTGTCCGCCTTCTCCTCGAATATGGAGCAGAAGTTGACAAGAAAACCACAGCGAAGGGAACTGCCCTTCACCAAGCCGCGAATCACGAAAGCATCGAGCTTGCACAACTTCTTTTGGAGCACGGGGCCTCGCTTGCATCCAGAGATTATAACCGTGGATTCACCCCTCTGGAAGAAGCAGTTCAGTCTGGCAACACCGAAATGGTGAACCTCTTTTTGGATCGTGGGGCATCTGTCAGATATCCTCAGTATGCTGACACATGTCTGGTTTGTGATTCGACGGAAACTGCGGTTCTGATGCTAAAATCAGGCATCCCTCTTCAAACGATAGGAAGGTATGGCGTACCCCTCTGGGCACCGGCGTGTCTGAAAATCCGGCTTGCGACCTTTATTTTCAACTCCGATTATGGCCATGCGATAGCATCCGAGGTGAATGCACCAAAGCTTTGGCAGATTCTATCCTACGCGTACTACGTTGGAGAGAGGGGTCGTGTCCGGCGATTTCTTCGTCTGCTGTGTCGGCGAAGTGGACACGAATCCATACAAGACATGACTGAGTCCGATGGAAAAGACAGCGAAAGATCATATGGCGTGTTGTGCCTCTTTGCTGATCTCGGACTTGTTGAAGAGGCCAAGTTGCTGCTAGACTTGGGTTGCAACATTGAGTTCGAGGGAGCTTCGACTGGCACTGCGCTAATGGCAGCAGCTCATGGGGGTCGGCTAGACGTAGTCAAAATGCTCGTCTATGCAGGAGCACGGATATGGTACGAGAAGGATGGATTAGGCAGGAGTGCAATAGTTGCAGCTCAGGATTTCCCAGAAATCGTAAGTTGGCTGTTGGTTGGAAAATTTACGGAGCAGGCGAAAATTGAGGTGGCCCCGCCTGGCTGGGTAACGGACCAACAAAGCGAGATTCGCCCCTGGAGCGGATATCGTCTTGGCAAGTTTTCTCTGTCAGGAAAATACGCTCGGCACTGGGGAGATTCGAGTTTGAGGTGGTTGTCGTGTTTGGATAAGGCACGAAGGAACTTGCGGGGGAAAGTTGTCGTATCAAGGTCATGGAACAGAGAATACTCATAGGAAACGAGTGACAATAGGTAAACCTGAATGATTTTCTAGGATAAGAAACCGTCACATGCCAGGATTCGTCTGCCTTGCATCATGCAGTGCTCCCGAATCAATGTGGTAAAACACCAACAATGCATGCGGAAAAGACCTTAACTCGGATTAACCGGCTGACAGGTACGACACCGACAGCAGACAAAGGTACGTAAAATGGCGGCAAACATTCCAAGACTGTAGCCAGTGCGCCTATAGTCGTTAGATCAACCGTGACAAGACCGTAAGTCCGGTCCAGCGGACTGTAAGTCCAGACTTCCAACGACTGTCATGCAGGTCGGTAAAGAAGGAACGAATCTAACCCGATCGATCCTTGCAATTTTTTTCAACTGCCGTAAATACGAGCGTGATCCCGCTCTTCTGAGACTGTGTTCTAATTGTAACCATCTTTCTCATTTTTGAGGTCAAGCCGTGGGTACCTAGGTAGTCATCAAGATGGGCAGCATATTCTCGAAGACTGCGCCCAAAGCACCGGCAACAGTGGCTACAGACACGATCATCCCCTTGAACCCCAATGATGACACTGCCCTGAACAGAGGCATTGTCATGGGCTTCATGATGCGCTTTGATGACGTCTTGAATCCAGAAAGGCTGCACTCGTCACTTACGAAGTTGCTAGGCCGTGAAGGATGGCGAAAGCTTGGTGCTAGACTAAGACTGAACGTAAGTTCCAATCTCAAGTATTCGAAAATGCGTCGAGACAGCTTTTCACATATGCGGCAGTCTCAGAAAAAGCTTGAGTACCATGTGCCTGAGCTATACAACTCCGAAAGACCAGCTATTGCGTACTCGCACCAGACGCACGACTGCAGCATCAAATATGATCCGCTCGCTTCGCGGCTACCGAAAGCAACTTCAAGGCCAGCAGTCATAGGAACTCCACCAGAAAAGTTCCAGGATTTAATGCGAAGATCAGATGGCCCCAAGTCGATGCAAGACTACATCTATCGCGATGAACCTCAGCTGAGTCTGCACATCGTCTCCTTCGATGACGCGACGCTTGTCAGTTTGACATGGCTGCACACGTTATGGGATGGGATCGGAAGGCAGGAACTTCTGACTGCGTGGACTGCCATTCTCGAGGGTCGCGACGACGATGTCAAAGTCTTCCACGGGTTTGACACAGATCCCCTGGCAGAGCTGGGAAAGAACACTGCAGAGCCATTCGTTCTGGCTGATCAGCGTCTTTCAGTCTGGGGACTGGCCCGAATCGTCCTGCAGTATATTTGGGACATCCTCCGTCATCCTTTTGAAGAATCTCGCATTGCTTGTATACCGGCAGCTTACATCGAAACACTCAAGAAACAGGTCAACCAAGAGTTGAGTGAACAGAGCACCGGCCAAGAAAAGTTATTCGCCAGCGAGGGAGACATCGTGACCGCCGTTATCGGCCGCCTATGGTCGCAACATTTGCCTGCGAATACCAACAAACCGATTGTCCTCGGAAACGTCATCAATATACGTCCTGCGCTTGCTCAGGACATTCTTCCAGAAAAGACCGCATTTATATCAAACGCCACATCCCTGATCCTAACCACCATCACCGCGGAGGACCTCTGGACAAGGCCGCTGAGCTACACGGCTGCCGCGATACGACGATCCATCCGAGAGCAAGGGACTAGAGCGCAAATTGAAGCTCGCAAAGCCCTAGAAAAGAAACATTCTGCAGCTTTCTTTGGAGACAAGAACATGCATCAGATTTTACTGTCAAACTGGGGCAAAGCCAGATTCTTCGAAACAGACTTTTCTTCCGCCGTCGTCGAGCCTCACTTAGTCTCTGTTGCTCAACCGCACAAACTTGGGCGCCCCTCGATGATTCTCAATGCGAACTATGTCAGTGGCTTCCCGCTTAGATTTGCGGGTCCGATAATTGGCAAGGACCTAGATGGCAATATTTGGTGGGGTGGCATGTTGCGGACTGGTCTCTGGGATAGAATTGCGCAAACCTTGGAAGATCAGGGTTGGTATTTGGTAACTAAGTAGTCTGCTTGATTCTATCTGCACCACGTCACTATCGCAGATCTGTGTCTTGTCTATATCTAGATAGCTGGCTTGTTGTGCTCGAATTATGTCTGCTCGTGGGTTCGCCTCGTTTCGTGCCCAATTTACATCATTGTTTTCCCAACAATAGTTTCAGGCCCTTCAAAGCTTGTTCGTTAGCCGTGAACAGAATGCCACCGGCCAAAACCGTTCGTCCTAGTCGCATGACTGTACCTCTCCAAAGGCCCTTTACTCCATCCTCGGCCATGATCGCTCGAAATGACTCCATTGTGCCCACGGCTTTGGCCTGTTGAGCCTTTGTCTTGATCGTGTCAAAGGGTTGCGTCGCTACGGTCGTGACTGTGCCAGCAAGCGCGCCGTTGGCAAAGCTCATGATCGGACCCTCAGGGCTGATTCCCTTGCTACGCTCGAAGTCTTTGATGATACTATAGCTGCCGAGGCGAAATCCCGTGGTGCCGATTTGTTTCAGGGTTGTGGTTATATAGCCGCGCCAAAGAGCCTTCAGAACTCCTTGCTCTCGCGTCAGAGTTTTGATGCAATTCACTGCACCTGTGAATCGTCGCGTTGTCTTGGCATCGTCGATGAGCGCTGTCTTGATGCGCTCGCTCGGTGTGACAATGATCGTGCTGCTGACGATCCCAGCTACCATTCCTGACGCGATACTTTGCATGGGTCCTAGCGTACGCGTCTTCTTGTCTTCGAATACGGAGCGAATGCTGTCGAACGCGACGAATCTCACCGCGTCCTTCCCGATAGACCCCACGATCATCGTGCTGCATCCCTTGTAAAGCGCTGGCAACCCCTCATCGCGCGCAACGCGCAGAACAATCGCGAAGGGGTTCCTTGTCCCTTTCTGGTGCCCATAGAGCTGTACTCGCGTCTTGGCGAACTCAAATGGGTACGTGCAGGCGGCTTCTACACCGCCGGCGATGCCTCCCGCAGCGAGTGAGAGTAGCGGCGATGTCTTGCCGTCCGCCGGAGCGACCATCGCGAACCCAGATCTGCCCCGGGGGCGTGTTGAATTTCGAGTTTTGATTGAAACGAGCACTCTTAATGTGTACACAAATCAAGACAAAAGTAAGCCGGCTGGTCGTAATCTTTGGACTTAATGTCGGAGAAATATGTCGATGGTTTATGAGGATTGCGACGATCGGCCCGGCCCGGTGTTCGCCTCGGTTAATTGTCGGCCTCGTGGGGACGCTTATCGCCGGATGCTCTTCAAGCTAGGTTACACCTTAGCGGCGATCCAATATCGCACACTGAAAACCGCGGACTCATTTTTCAAGTTGTCGATACACCTGACGCGCCTTACACACTACAGACTTCGTTACTAACTATGCGAACATGACCAACAGTGGTAGGTAGTTCATCAACTTATCATGGTCCTCTTCTCGTAAGCCTCGATTCCATGAGAAACGCAACTACAAGATCGTCAATGTTCGCTTTTCTGCTCCCTCAAACCACGATGACTTTCCCCGGTCAAGAAAAGCACCAACGCGGTAGAACAAAGACGGAGATCTTTCCATCAATATCAGTCCCCTAATATTCTCGCCCACTTGTTCTGGGTGCCGTTCACTTCTGAGACCAAGAAAATACAAAGTGTCTTGACTCCACAATACCTCATGATGGTCCTGGCTGTATGGGTCGGCGTCAAGAAATATGTACCCGACCCATTCGTCCTTATAATTAAGCCATCTAGTAATACCATCAGAATCTCTACCATGACTGCCTGCAGCTCTGGTAGCCAAGCACGGACCCGAGATGGTTAGAGACCCCGAGGTAACCCTCCCGTAAGGATTCCCGGGGGAGTTTAACGTGGTTTCTGCACCAATGATATCCACGAGGCTCTCTCCGGTTTGTGCAAACGCAAAGTCAACGGATCCTTGCACGGATGCCCATGACCATGACGGAGCCACCCATTTCTCTGGTCGGGATTTCTGAGATTTGGGCAAGAAAATATCTAGTGCCCCTCCCTGCCGCCAAAGCAAACTTCTCTCCAGCTGCTTCTGCCATAGGCCCGCCAAGTAGCGACCTAGCCTACCATTCAGTAATGTGTCGAATTCCCGAGCCATTCCTTCTATTGCAGGAAGTCTGTCTGCTGGATTGGTAAGACTCCGGGATGAATAGTTCTGCACAAGACCATCCCAATACGACGCAAAAACTTCTTTTCTTTGGAGCCAAGGGGTGTACATGGGAAAGAAAGGTTTCATCTTGATCTTGTCAAGCGAAGAATGAGGACAGATGTAATGGATCCTGGAGGAAGTAAAAAGCAGCCGCCGAGGAGCCAGTTCCCATTCTTGGAGAGCCCATGCCCGGCGACTGATAGGCTCGTCTTTGAACTGAACGCTGGTGTCTAGAATGACTGATGTGTTCTGGGTATCCTCGTGTGGAGGCTTGACAGGAATCTGGCATTGATGCGCGGCTATAGAAAAGAAGCCATCGTCGGAGTCTGGGGCATTGGCTGCGACTATTGTGATGAAAGAGTTCTTGTAGATACTGGCCATTCTGGCCGACTCATACAACCAATCTTCGTCAGAGTCTTGGAGGATACATAATGCATCGATCCAAATGTACTGCATATGGAGTCCTTGCGCTACTCGAAGAGCATCTTGCAGACTGAGAGGCAGTGCCGAAGGAGAGAATCCTTGCTGTCGGTCGGCCAATGTCGCCGAAGTGATTGTGAACGTATTCGATTTGCCCCAACAGTATGACAAGGCGGCGTATTTGATATTCTTGCCAACTTCTGCTGTGTTTTTGATCGTGATCAAGTTGTTAGCGTGATTACTGAGGTCGACGAGTCGTGTTGGTAGCTCTACCTCCCCGATGGGGAAGCAAGCGTGGTCCGCTTGGCATTGAAAGATCTCTGTTTGGGCCATTTGCCAGTGATTTGGGACTGACTGGTCTTTGACACAGTTAGAGATGTTTTTCAGAAGACCATAGTTTCATGTCACCTACCGCTACCATTTAGAAGCCTGCAACTTATACTCTGTGGTTCTACAACTCGCGGCTCTCGTTCCGAGGCATCATTGCCATGTACACACTCTTGCGGGGAGATGGTGCCTGCATCTATTTTTATAAAAAGTAGTAAGTACTTCTCGTAGCTCTTGAGGATCACTTTAATTGGTGGTTTGTTGTATGATCTTATTTTCGCGGGCTTGGGCCGTTTTGCGAGCTTCATCATAACGCTTCCCTGGCACTTCTGGCTAACATTGATCGCCTTAGAGCAGAAAGCTCTATGCAATATCATACATAGACTGCAAGTTTCCCTCGAGGCTGAGATGTCAGCTAAATTGCCCACCATGCGGGACCAATCAAGGTCGTCCAGATCCGAGGGTAAAGTGATGGTTTGGCAACGGGCGCACAACGGCTGCATGCCAGTCAACGCCGCCATTTCTGAACTAGACAGACTTGAATCGGGGGAAAGTAGGCCCTTGTACCGAATCTATCAATTCGAAGGTGGCGTTGTAACTTGTAAAGCCGGGTCAGCCACTACCCATAGTAAGGTAAGCAAGGATATCCAAGTTTTTAGCTGGCTTCGGGCTCAACTACAGCCCCGGAAGAAGACCTAACGTTCTTCAGAACTTCCTACTGTACAGCTTCTGAGAAGAAGACTTGAAATGGTAATAGGAAATGCCGACGGAACTTACGTGCTTGGAATTGATTAGGCTCAGATGTTGTCGAAGCTTAACGACACGGAGCCTCACACTTCCATACCCCTCCATACCCCTCCATACCCCTCACCTCGTTTAGGCAGCAGTTCTCCTATCCTGTCTCCGCTGTTAATTTGCTGACATTCTTCGGACCACCGACCAACAGCCTCAGTTACCTAGGCCACAAAACCCTCCATCCAAGGACCTCTATGTTTAAGCTTTCAGTGTTCTAAGAATCATGCTCCATATCGATGAATGCGTTTTGGATCGACCAACACAGACTATAAGTAGACCTGGGCGTTGATCTGTAGTTTCCGAGCCCCTCATAGCCTCAGTTATGTACTCTCATGTATTTGCTCGTCGCAATTTTGGACCCGCGCAGGACTAGATGTTTCTCATGATGCGCGACTGCGTCCTTCAAACGTATGATTCGTGCTCCTGCTCCTGCTACGGCAATGATATACACACCCACAGCTGCTGTGGGTGGCTCTGCGCCTGCTTCCGCAAACTTGGCCATGAGTATCTCACTCGTCTACTTTACTCATGTGTGTGCTTTTCGTCGAATGGCCTGGTTGCACCGGAGTCTTCGTCGTCGTGGGCGATACATCTTACTTCAGACCCAGATATGAAATGATTGCTCGTCGAAAAGCTCCGCTGAGATGAGCGGGGCTTGTAAGTTATTGAGTTGGAGCCATGGGAGCAAAGGGCCAGGGGTACGCCATCGACTCAGACTTGAGGATAGAGCTACCAAGTATTCCCAGTCCAAGTTTCTTACTTGCTAGTCGTGAGTATTAGAGTGATACGGAACCATGTTTTCATACGACGCTTAGTAGCAATCGAGCCCATGAGTTGGTGAGGCTTAGAGGGAGGGCCTTTAATAACCTACCGGTACGCCTACACTTCTTATTCAGTACGTCTCGACAGATAATTTTTCTCTACATACCGGCTACAAGCTGAATATCTCGGCCTCAGCTAGCTGTTGATGGTGGAGTAGGTGGACCTAGAATTCCTTTGGTTGCGGCACGGCCATCTACGACGGTTAGGCAGCAGCATTACCGAAATTTTCACTCTAGCATCGAAACGGGATACCCCTATATTGAGCTGGCTGCCTCCGAGAATGATACATGTAATCCGGGGCTCAAAGTTCTTTACCTCTATTACTTGCCTTTTAAAGACAAGATGCAATGTTAACAATGGACCGAAGGCATGTTCGTGGACATCACTCGGGCAATGCGCTTAGACCCCTGAATGCGGGTGAGGTTATGTTGTGGGTTGTGAAAAGTCCGCCGAGTATCAATGTTCGCTCCATGCAGCTTGAAAACGCAGGATCTTATCTTATGGATCCCCTGAGTCAAGGTTAGCCATATGTAGCCGTTTACTGGGTAGGATGCTCTTTGCTGCAGGTAGTGCAAGGCGCTTTTTGACCCTTTCTACCTTTGGGACACTCTAGGGCACCCCCATGCTGGACCACACAAGCGACCTAGAAAGCCTTGGAGAGATGACGGTGATGCTCTACATTTTAAGAAAATCGGCATTTGATCGAACCCATTGAGTGACTACTTGGGGGTTCTTCTACCTTAAAGTAACGAAGTCTGGGTGCTTGGCTGCCTGCTTCATCGTGTAATACCAGCTTCCGAGGATGTACTAACTTTGGTTGCCATGTCCACTCTGTAAGGTTCTGGCAATACAAGTTGGTAATAGCTTCCAGTTCATCTCAATATTCATGCGACGCGTCATCGCTCAAATGCACTTTCCTGGTGCCTGGAATCGTCTTCCGGCGGCGTCTTGGCGACGCCCAGTTCCCAAGATCATCATCCCGAATCCAACTGCAGACAACTTATCCGCAGCAAGATGGAATTAAGTGCAAATATCATGAATGGCAATACGAGAAAGTGGGCGAGTTCCAGCAGCACAGCCTCTGTGTAGTCCAAAAAGGGAACTGAGACACCATGGATGCCATACCTGAGAGATAGCCAGCAAGCTTCGGAGCTTGATAGCCCAATGAAGAGGTTACTGATAGGTACTCACAGGAGTGATGCGGAGTATATGGTCTATCTCAATTGGCATTTGCCCAAGCTCGCGCACTTTTCTTTGGTCACAAGTGGCAATTACCCCTAAAGCATGCATCTAAGTCATTGAGCAGATTGCCTCCCCGTTGTGATGAAGACTCAAGAGGTGATCCACGTACCAAGGGAGGCTTCAGGAGCAGCAGTCAGGAGTCCTCGAGCAATAATGAAAACGAAGTATAAATCCATGGAAGCATCCCACCATATATCAGCCAGATTCATCAATGCCACAATACAATCAATCTCAGTGTCGAACTCTTAAGACGTTATCATGTTCTCATTCAATTTCGAAAGCTCGCTCTCAGGCTCCGACCTACCACTGCGGATAACGCTTTGCCTTCTTCACTTCGTCTTTGGATCCATCTTCTTTGATATCATACACTGGATTGCCCACCGGTCTAACAGATCTCGCTTCCGAATACTACGACTACTTGCCAAGGCTCATTCAATCCACCATCAATACTTTGATCGTAATCTGAGATTCAACGAGCGATTCCGTCATCGAAATATTGTCTGGCATCTATCACTTGAGGCGTCTTGTCAGATGATTGGTAGCACAATGAGCTGGCTTCTCGGCCCTTTGTTCGTGCGCAAGGCTTCACTTTCCCAGTTCCATGACCTGATCATCATACTCTCAGTCCAAGCTGGTAGAGCAGCCGTAGTGGCATGGAACTCTGGGAACGATTCAAATCATATTCCTTACCCGCGGCTTCCGAAAGATCCTTCCACCTTCTTTGTTGGGCCTGAGTACCATGCCCTTCACCACATCGAACCTCTTGCCTACTTTGGGTCAATGGTGCGCCTGCTCGACTGGTTCCTCGGTACCGGGGTCTCACTCAGGGGCCGGCGCGTAACGATGACGGGGTCCAGGGGAGCCCTCGGCCAGGCCCTAACGAAGCAGCTTCACCTTCAAGGTGTTCGATGCATTCATACCCCCAGATTTGGAGTCGACTGGACGTACGGCGACTATTCCTACTTTGAGTCTATCCTTGCAAACACCGATATACTCATTCTCGCCCATGGATCCAAGAACGACGACAATGCCCACAAGGCAAATTGCGAGTCCCATGTCGCTATCATAGAACTGTTTAAGAAATTTTGCGAGGGGCGAAAACTTGGATTACTGCCAGAAGTTTGGTACATTGGTAGCGAGGCCGAATTTCATGGGGCATGGACGAAAGACATGGAGGGCTACACACAATCGAAACGCGCATTCGTACCGCACGCCCAAAGATACTATGGAGACGAGTTCTTCAATTATCGACACATAGTTCCGGCAGCGTTTACCTCGAGAATGGGACGCGGCTTCATGTCTGCTGATTCGGCGGCCAAAGTGGCTCTGTGGTGGATTTGTACAGGCGCACGTTACGTTCCAGTTACATATACCGGGTTCGCATATCTCAATTTCTTCAGGTTCAGACTGGGAGGCCTCGCTATTGGTTCGCCAAAGGGCACATCTCGAGGAGCTTCAGAGATATTGCGCATCATTGATGGAGGACGGGCCAAACTCTGGCCTTGACAAGAGCCATCCAAGAAAACATACATGTAGAGACTTCACTCTGTATTTGTATTAGTTCTGTAAAGCCTCGGCATATTTTTCAAGACAAAGTTCATCTTCAATCTCCCAACATCTCCTTTTCAAATCATTCTCGAGTTCCGGATGACTTTCGTAGCTTGAACCCACATCTCAGAAGCCAAGATGTCAGTTGCGGGTCGTGGGCGACCAACGTTTGCGTCTAGTATCCACACGAGGGCTTCAACCACCCACCTCAAGCCCACATGATCGTCTCGTCGCCATGTGAGCCTCAAGGGAGTAGTTCCAGTTCGATTGGTCTATTAGTCTAGTTGGTTAGGACGTCGGATTCTGATTCACAATTGAAAATCAGTCCCTTCCGTAAGCCCAGGTTCGAATCCTGGATGGACCTTTACGTTTTGCACTTATGATAGAAGTGTATTGAGGCGTCATATTGTTCAAGTTTTGGCTCTGTGATCGTATTTCAGGACCAGTGTTTGGCGGCCTACGAGCGTCGCAAGGCTGGAATCCTCTAAATATTTTGTTCTCGCCTAAATACAACTATCTGGCGGAGATGATGTTCACTTGCACTATAATTACCATGGTGTTGAAACTCTCATCTAAGTTTAACAGCCGCAGTTGCCCCGGAGCTCCGACCCCCCGATTAGCAGGTCGGCATGCGGATTTCCGTTACGTATGACGCACAAAGAACGGGAGCCGTATTCGGACTGGGTACTCCAGACGAAACAGAGCACCCTAACTACGAGCTTCAGTTGAGACTTCTATGTGACAGGTTGATGCTACTATATGAGATGGGGGGGTTTTTTTTTTTTTTTCGAATCCCGCGGCTTTAGTCGAACTAGTCATATGCCGGCAGGTTTTGAGTTTACTCGAGGATGGGGAAGTACGGCGGGAAGCACGGCACCTGCTAGGTTAAGGTTACTGATGCTATCAACTTCAGGCGAATCTCGCAATGTTTTATGAACCAAGGTAAGCCGCGGTCAACTCACAACTTGAACGTATCTCGGAGCCTCCAGCAGGTACCTCTGGCCAAGATCAACATACATAGCAGACTAATCGAAGTTCTTGCACAATGCACGCAATCGATGTTCTTCAGTCTCTAGAAGCCTGCGGGCTCTCCTTTCTCGTCGGAATCATCCTCCATGTCTCCGTCTTCCGGTCCGGTGAATGGGATCTCTCGGCACAACGCATCATCACGAACTTCACACTCGCCTATGCAGCAACTGTCGGGGTCACCATGGCGTTGCCGTCCTTGATCCCCATGGTTTCTAGAACCTCATTGGAAGCGACCAGCTTGGCCCAAGTCTCCAAAGTTAGTGCTATACTCTTGTCTTCCCTTACGGCAGGCATCTACACGAGCATGTTAGTATACCGAGGCCTATTCCACCGCCTGCGTGAATTTCCCGGCCCCTTTCTTGCCAAGTTCACAAATCTCTACGTCACGTTCAAGATCTGGAACCGGATGCACCTCCATGAGGACGTGCGAAAGCTACACCAGAAGTACGGCGATGTGGTGAGGATTGGCCCGACCGAACTCTCGATCAACAAGCCCGGCGCCATCGACGCCGTCTTCCTGGACACGGATTGTATGAAAGGACCATGGTATAATCTGCTTCATCCCATGGTCTCAATGCAAATGGTTCGCGATAAAGAGGCGCATTCTAGACGACGAAAAGCGTGGGAACATGGCTTCACCTCGAAATGTAAGTCATTATGGAGACGTTGACAGAAGTGACCGATATCAATGCTAGCAGAGACTGATGAACGGCACCACGCAGCACTTCGCGATTACGAGCCCCGCGTCCTCAAATACACCGACCGACTCCTCGCCGGCATCGAAGCCAGCGCAGGCTCCAAGTTCAACGTATCCCTGTGGTTCAACTTTTACAGCTTTGATGTCATGGGCGAGTTCTCCTTGGGCCATGGGTTCCGCATGCTTGAAGATGGCGTCGCGCACTTTTACATGAACTCGCTGCACGATGAGACCAAGGCCGTCGGGCGCTTTACGCACGCCATGTGGGCTCTGCCGCTGTATCGCAAGATGGCCATTTGGAATACCGGCGTCAAGAAGTTCAAGACGTGGATCTCGGGCCAGGTGCAACAGCGGATCCAGAATAAGCCCGAGAGCCCCGATATATTTACGTGGGTGTTGGAGGATTACGAAGCTAAGAAGGAACGCTCCGCCCAAGATATGCTTAATTTGTACGGAGACTGTATCTTAATTACAGTTGCTGGAAGGTAATGCTCTCGCAGTGATCCCATTTTCTCGGGCCACGGATTATTGACTCGCCTTGATGGTATTTAGCGACACTGTGGCAGCTGTCCTGTCATGCCTGTTCATGGAGCTGGCTCGGCATCCGAAAGAGTACCGGAAGCTGCAAGACGAAGTCGATGAGTACTTCAGAGGACATGACAAGCCTGGACATGCCGCCCTTTCAAAGCTACGATATCTTCAAGCCTGCATCGATGAATCATTACGTCTGCATCCACCTGTGCCATCGGGTGTCCAGCGAATGACGCCGCCAGAGGGTCTTCAAGTAGACGACGTCTGGCTTCCTGGAGACACCATTGTCTTTGTGCCCTCGTATACACAATACAGAGGTGAGTCACTCTCAAAAGTTGAGCAGCAAAAGTTGCAATTTGATTTGTCTCGGAGTACGGACGTGGATGGGTTACTGATAAACTTGCCAAATGATAGACGCCAGGTTCTTTGAAAGACCAGACGACTTCATCCCAGAACGATGGATCGACCAGCCAGAGTTCATCAAGAACGCCTCAGTCTACGTGCCATTCTCGACAGGTGAGTTTCTGACTGCCTCTTTCCCATCGAGTGAGCTAAACGGCGACCTTGCTAACTTCACTCTCAAGGACACGACGTATGTATTGGGAAACAGCTCGGCCTCCTAGAGACGCGATTTGTGACCAGCGCCATCGTGCATAAGTACAACTTGCGATATGCACAGGGGCAGACAGGGGAGATGTTCCTGGAGGGCAACAAGGACACGGGTACGCTGACCGTTGCTCCGCTCAATGTGGTATTCTCGCCGAGGAAAGCGTAAGCGTGGGGGTGGGTTCGGCAAAGTTGTCTCATCTCCCGTCTTTATATGCAGCTTGCAGAGATTTCCCGGTCCGGGGAGGTTGGTTGTCAACTTGTCAGGGTCTCAACACTGCACAGGGCATGCCGCTGTTGGTTGCATGGGTGCATGATTAATGGGATGTAGTATGTAGAGTGTACTATTGTTCTCGTATATGTTCCTTGGCGTAGGTACCTACACCTACCAGTGCTACCTGTGTGCAGATATTTGCAGACTCAACTGCGAGCGTGAGGTTCAAACTTGGAATATTATGATGTGTCGAAAGAGAAATGCTCGCTGTCATGCCGTGCTTACCAACATCGCTGATGATTCCGAGAGAAAAATGCGCATTAAGCCTTGCCGTACGTCGCTCGTATCCGTCGCTCCAAATGCTCCCGACTGGTAACAGGCTCGGCACTTTCGTACCCCTTTCTTCTCAAAACCTCCAAAAACTCGGCACCTGCACCGCCGCCACCGCTATCCCCTCGGTCCTCCTTGATGGGTGCCAACACGACGTGGCGATCAGGCTGTATGAACACGGGTATACTTAACCTCGCGACATTCTCGCTCGCGGACCTGGGAAAGGCGACCCTGTGCACCGTAGACCGCAGCCTCCCTGCGGTCCAGAACTCCAGGGCGTCGCCTATGTTGACGACAATGGCATTGGGGATGCAGGGGACGTCAGCCCACGCGGAGAGCTTGTTTCCTCCTCCTCCTCCTCGCAGGACCTGAAGGCCGCCCTGGTCCGAGGGCTGGCGGAAAAGCAGGGTAAGTGAGCCGTAATCGGAGTGGGCGCCCGCTCGGATATCTTCCGAGTTAGAGGTTGGGGCGTCGTCTTGAGGCGAGGAGGTGGTGGTGGATGATGAGACCTCGGATACCGGGGGATAGTTTATGAGACGCATACGACAACATTCGCCAGTATGGGCCTTTGATAGAAAATCTCTTGGCATCTGAAGTGAAGAGTTTAGTTATACCCAGCCCCTCATTTTGATGGCTCCTTCGCAGTAGGATGTCATATAAAACACTTAGATGGCAGCACTCACACCTAATCCAACTGCAAGTCCTTCCAAAAGAGTCTTTGCGAGGTTGTCGCAACCCGCAAAGAAGGCCGACATTGTCTCTCGGCGGGACTCCAACTCGGTTGGAAGCAGCTGCGTCGTTTTACCGGGGTCTGATAGGTAAAAGGACTCTTTAACGTCGCCTGGCCCTGCTCCCGAAAGCCTGTTCCACCCCACAAACATCAACATCTGAGCGTGATCTCACTGTTTCTTTACGAAAGGGGAAACACCATAAGCATGGTAGATGGGGCTGAGCACAACATACGTTTCTTCTCTCATACCGGTGTAACCCTAAGCGAGATCAAACCACGCAGTCAGCACCGCAAAAGATTAATCGCCGATCATATTCGTCCAACAACATGTACATAAATCCATCCTGTTTCTACGCCCTCTCGTTCCCGGTTGCTGCAAGAGAGAGAAAGAGAGACGGGCAAGAGACAGGACTATTCAGGCGAGGTGCAGAATACAAAACAGAAAAACTCACCAGGTCGCCGCTGCCGTTGGCGTACACCAACTTCTCTTCAAGGGGTGAGCTGAAGAAGCTCTTGGCAAGAGCAAACATGTCGGCTGCGACGTCGTCGCGCAGCTCGTGGCCAACAACGTAGAAGAAACCGGGATCCTTGCCGACGCGCATGAGGTCGGCCGCAAGGTCCTCGACCGAGTCGAAGGACCGCAAGTCAACAACTGGTAGCGCCGCCTCCGACTCCGCCGCCGCTGCGGCCACGGTCATGGTTGGCTCGTTGGTTTTCGGCGCACCGCGCAGACGCGCAAACTGGGGTTTGCAAGACGGGGGGTGTTGAACAATGGTATTCTTGTAACACCCTTCTCGCTCTAGAACAAACATAAAGATTACGCAGGGGATGCAGATGTGGACAGTGGACTTTTAGTACAAGCAGGAAGCGTCTGTGGTTTCTGATAATATCGCGCGTAATATGCCTTTGAGAATTTTCGTCCGATCCGAGTTGCGCGCCCGACAGGAGGCAATGAAGCGCGGGTATTAAAGTATGCAGGATGAAATGAATGATGTATGCGGCATGGGCGAACGCCACTTTCACAGCAGATAGTGATAAAAAATGTCCAAGCTCCTCGAGTTAAGTAACAACTCTTGGTTGCGCATTTTCCCTTTCTCTCTAGCAGACCGAACCCCTCTTCCGACGGACCGACCTCGAGATAACCTCGTGGGGAATTGGGGGTTCCGCGGTCTCGGAGGCGGTTAAAGCTGTAGAATCAGAAGAAACAGCGGCAGATTCTCCATCTCAGAGCCCGCTCATTTTGCCTTTTTGTCACTCTTTTTGCCCGTCTTGAGAGGAGCCCCGCCGCGGGAAACACACGTGGGCTTGCTGGGTCTCGGGGTCCTCGAGGCGTTCGACGGGCCAAAGAGAAGGGGAGAGTGACCGCCCGTACAGACGCCAGACGCAACCCTAAACTGGGTTAATTCCTCTCTTTTGGAGAATGGACGGCGGGGCCGGGGGTTCAAGGCCGCGGTTGACGATCGATATGTGTGACGAAGAAGCGGCAGTGCCCGCGCGTGTGGCCCCATGACCGGTCCAGTTTCCCATGCAGAAAAAGGCTCCGCAGAGAACGACGAAACATACTGTGGAGATAAGCGCAATCGTGATCTCGATTCTTGACTGAAGCCGTCAAAAGTCATGTCTCAAATGAGGGGTCTAAAGGTGATGGAACGGGCGATGGTGTTGCTCGAGCCAATCGCGATTCGTTACCATTTCCCGAGCCACATAAATTTTGCGGCCGAGACAGCGAGACAGTGGCTGTTGAGCTGTTGAGCTGTAGAATGCCAGAGTGCCAGAATGTGACGGTTCCCTCGACTTTCTAGTTTACTGCGATGTACGGGATACATACCATGAGGGAGAGGAAGTCTGATTGGTATCTGTACGGAAACGATATCTGGCGATGTGCTTGAGGCAACGCCGCAACGGTGTAGGAACACGCAATGCAGCCTACTTCTCCGTAGACTTACATGGTCGAAATCTGAGAGGGAATCAGGTTGATGACCCTGTCTTGAATGTCTCATATGATAGGCCTGCGTCGGTCCGCTCTGCTCCAACACGCCAAGCGAAATTGAAGAGCAAACAAAATCCCATTCCGCCTAGCCCATCCAGATCCAACACGTAATAATCCTGCTTTCGTACCCACAACGTAAGCAGGAGGAAAGAAAAGAGAAAAACACCCCCGGCGTGAACTAGAACCCGAAAAGACCCTTACACCAATTCTCTTTTCCCCTCCCTACCGAGAGCCTGGTCCGCGCCCCCTTCTGCCCTGGGCTCTATCCACATTCCCACACTTTTGGGGCCAGGGATCATCGTCACCGCTGCAGGTTCTGCATGGCAGTGGAGGGGCGGGCACGTCGTGGATCGTGAAATTGACCGCGCATCCCACGAGGGGAAGAGTCCGAAAGGGACGGCGGGAGGGGGTCATGTAAAGTAGTTTGAGTCTAGGTTCTCTTCCAACTGCATGATATCAAACGCGATATTTGTCGTAAACCTGGAAGTTCAGCTTACGAAGTATTACATGGCGTCCCTCTAGCTTCTACAAACCTTGCCTCTAGAGTCCTTTTCCCCCCTCCCAAGGTCCCCAACCCCCAACCATATCCTCCCTTTTCGCCATGGATGTTCCCATAGCCTCCGTCACCTTTCAAGTCCCGCTATTCGTAGACCGAGGTGCTGATATCTTGTTTCAAACGACTGGAGCAAACCCGGCCGCCCATCTACAATATTGCGCCGGGATGGTTGGAACCCCCTGAAGTGGTATCATCGGTGAAAGCTGACCCTGCACTTGGTCAGCCAGGGCTTCACAGGCGCACCCTACATCATGTATGGCAATCCATACACAGTAAGGTAAGACCACTTCCCTCTTGCTCTTTTCTTTTTCCTCTCCTGTCAGCCTGTCGGTGGCCCGTTGGGCAAGTCGCTAACCACGCCTCTGGGATTTCTGTCTCGCCCGCTTGCTCAACCCTTTGCCCGGGACAGGTTCCGCGTCCAGCATCCAGCTCCTCCAGACCCAGACTCCCGGTACTATCAAGTTCCGTACGTAGGCATTGAACATGAAATGGAAACGCTCGAGAGACACATATATCAGCCGTGAAGGACAACCCAAGTCCCGACCACACTGTGTCTCTACACATTGCCCTGCCTCCTCCTTTCATTCCAAGTCCCCCTCATAGCCTCCAACTTTTTAACCTTTTGCCCGTTACGCATTGCACGTAACTGAACACCCCACGATCTGTGCGACGTAACTAAGCTTTCCGTACGAAACTTTGACAAGCTAGACGCTAAAAAATCGAACCAAACAAAAGAAAAAGGCCCGCCTCAAAATCGTCCGGTCCGCTTACGGTCTGGCCTAGCGCCCTCCCCGTCTCCCCTTTCTAGATCTCTCCCGCACCGCCTCACTCCTAAGTAAGGTCCGTCTCATATCTTCATTGAAAGAGGCCGTTCTCACTCAGGAACCCTACCTACTGTACTGGCCCCCATCCCATCCCGTTTCTTCCTGAGCGGGCCCCTTCCCCCATCTTCCCGCCCTCCACATTCACCCGCCTCTTGGTCCCCGTCCTCTTGCCAAACGGGCGGGCATACACACCACAGTAGTTCGCAGAGCCGGCGTCGCGGCGTACATCACGCATTCCTCAAGTGAATACCACCAACACCTCACAACAACCCGCTTCCTCAGCGGTACATCCCAGCAGTGAGAAGTCGGAACTAGACAGGGAACTAGCAACAAGAATCTGTTGTGATCATCGACGGTGTCCCACGGTGCCCTTCTCCGGCCAAACCCCCACCGGCGCCAAAACAGCCAAGATGACGACCGCAACGGCCCTCCTCCGCCGCGTCCAAGTCCCCCGCGAGACGGACGTGGCAACGACAGCCTACATGAACCGCGACACCCGGCCCCTCCCGCCCTCCCGCCGCACCTACGGGCCCTGGCAATTCGTCGGCCTCTGGGTCGTCACCGGCTCCTTCAACATCGGCGGCTGGACGACGGGCTCCTCCCTCATCGCCCTCGGCCTCAACGTCTGGCAGGCCATGTTGACCGTCATCATCGGCCACTGCCTCGTCGGCCTCATCTGCGTCCTCGCCGGCGGACCGGGCGCGAAATGGCATATCGGCTTCTCCATCCTGCAAAAGGCCTCCTGGGGCATGCGCGGCGCTCTCTTCCCGCTCGTCCAGCGCATCGTATTATCGTTTATATGGTACTCTACACAAGTCTACTGGGGCGGACAATGCGTACGCACCTTCATCGCCTCCATGGCCCCGTCCTTCAACAACCTCGACACACCCCTCGCCAACGGCACAATGACGGTGGCAGACTTCATCGGCTTCATCATCTTCTCCCTCCTCTGCCTGCCCCTGATCTACATCCGCCCAGAACGCTACCACATCCCCTTCGCCGTCGCCGCCTGCACCGTCATCCCCACCGTCTTCGTCCTCTTAATCTGGTGCCTCGCCACAGCCCGCGGCGCCGGCCCCATGCTCCACGACATCACCTCCACCGCCGGCGTCAAGCAAGCAACGGGCTCCCACCTGGGCTGGATGCTCGCCCTCGGCATCTGCACAAACATCGGCGGCATCAGCACCCACATCTTCTCCCAGTCCGACTTCACGCGCTTCGCCCGCCGGCCCCGCGACCAGCTCGCCTCCCAGCTCGTCTTCGTACCTGTCAATACCATCCTCGTCGCCTTCGTCGGCATCGTCTGCACCTCGTGCGCCGCCCAGCTCTTCCCCAAGACGCAGGGCACGCTCGTATGGGAACCCTACCGCTTCCTCGACGCCCTTCAAGCCCACTACGACAACAGCGCGGGAGCCCGCGCCGCCGTCTTCTTCGCGGCCCTCGCCTTCATCTTTGCCCAGTTCGGCATCGCCGTCGCGGAGAACGCACTCTCCAACGGCATCGACCTCTCCGCGCTGCTGCCGCGCTACTTTAACCTCCGCCGCGGCGGGTACCTCACCGCAGCCGTGGCCTTTATCATGCAGCCATGGCAGCTCCTCAACGGCGCAAGCAAGTTCCTCACGGTGATGGGCGGTTACGGCGTCTTCCTGGGTTCTATGACGGGTGTCATGTTTGCGGATTACTACCTTGTTCGCGCGCGGCGGCTGAAGCTGACAGACCTGTACGAGGCGAGCAGCCGGAGCGTGTACTGGTACCGCGGGGGCGTCAACTGGCGCGCCGGCGTGTCGTGGACGGTGGGCACGTTCTCCCTGCTACCCGGGTTCGTGCAGCGAGTGCAGGATCCGACGGTTGAAAAGGCGGGGTGGTCGCACCTGTACTACCTCGCTTGGCCGTTGGGTTGTACCCTTGCCGTGGTATCGTATTGCCTACTGCATGCTGCGTTCCCGATTCGGGACCCTCATGCGGTTGACGACGCGGACTATTTTGGTACGTTTGGGCCGGCGGAGAGGCCGGTGCTGGACGGGGAGCAGCTTCCGTCGTCGTCTTCCAAGGCGTCTGATAGAGATGATTCGACTAGCAAGATTCGTGAGGAGCCCGATGAGAAGAGGGTGTGAAGGCGGATAGGTTTTTGAAGGACGTGTGTTATGATCACGAGCCAGCTCTTGTCGTTTTCCTTGTTATAGCGCGCGGGATACCTTTTGTTGTGTATGCGTTTTCTGCCCGAATAGAGTATGCCATAATGGCTCTAATGACTTACCATCCATTCTGTCGTCAGTCCAAGTGTGAGTGAGGTGAGATGTGACGTGTCGGAAGAGGCGATGAAGCGGCAGCCTGCCGTCGACCCAATGTGTATGTTCCACTCGACCCATCATGAGTACATAACTCTAAGAAGGACCTGTTTTTCGTGCTAAATGTGACGGTTCATCTGCAAGCCTTCCTAGCGTTGCTGGTATTGGTTGCAACTCACACTGCAAAGGTGCATATTTCACACCACCAGGATGATAAGAAGTGAATATTTTCAAGAGAATGGGGTGGGTGGCCATCATGCACACTTATTGGATTCAAACCACCACTCAATCAATACCCTGGTTTCTACCTTCAAGCCCTAGTAAGCTCATCAATCCACATTGCGCCAGTTCATCATCTCGCCTCGTGAATCGTGACATCCCCCTCCTCCACCATCCCGCGCCATCATCCACCTCAAAGAACCTTAAAGGACCTTCCCCTGCTCAACTCCATTCATGTAGATAGCGCAAAAGAGGGCAAAATGACCCAAAAGGGCCAACTGGATTCAAATGGGTCACACATCGTACGAGCCCTGCATGGAAGATCGTCCCCAAGTGCCGATGCGGGAGACAACAAGAAGCAAAAGACGCGGTGTTCCACCGCACAAAGGCGGGGTTGCGGGCGGATGAGCTGCTGAATCCATAGATGAACCGATTCGGAACCCAGCGAATGCGACCAGGGCACTTGGTCGCCTGTGCGCTTCAATTCCTGAAAACGGCATGTCAATAGAAATGAAAGCTGTCTATTGAGTGTCAATAACGTCAAAGGTCAGGTTGATAAAAGGCAAAATTCATCCCGTTTATGCGCGTCGGGTCGACATACTAATACCTAAATCCATCAATATCCCGACCCTTGCCTCCTCTTTGTTCTCTCAAACGGACAAACATCATGGCGCCGGCAATTGACCAGTCCGTGAGACTCCTATGCATCATCCCTATATCAACAACAGGCATGACAGACGACCTCGCACGTGTATATCACTCCACGGCAACCTTCCAAATTACCTTTGTGGACGGCCGCGACCTCGATGACTGCCCTCCGTGCATCGAGAACCACGCGCAGGCCATATCTTCAACCAACGCAGTTCTCCCCCGTGCAATAGAGTACATCTCCACCCACAGCCCGCATGCCGTCCTCGTCTGCTGCTTCTCAGACCACCCGCTAGTATACGCACTGGAGGAGCGCTACGGTGACGAGGTTCCCGTCACCGGAATATTCCAAGCCGCGTTACAGGAAGCCACAGCAAGTGGAGGCAAGTTCGGCATTGTTACAACATCGACCTCATGGGAACAGCCGTTGAAAGACTCTGTTGATGACCTCGGTTTCGGGACGTATTCCACTGGCGTCGCAGCGACTGGCTTGAGCCCACTTGAACTGGAGAGCTTGGATCGGGATTTCGTGATCGATCGCATTGCTACATCTTCGAAGCCTTTGATTGATAACGGTGCCGAAAGCATTATCCTCGGCTGTGCGGGTATGGCGGTATTGGAAGACAATATACTCTCGGCTCTTCCACCTTCGATCAAGACGATTGATGGTGTTCGTTCAGGGATGACGATCTTGTCGCGGCGGGTTGAGGAGACGGCTTTAACCAAACCAGTGCTTTCTCTTCTCGACGATACCAAGACTAAGATTGCGGTAAGCAGCACGGAATTGATGAGGGACAGGCAGCAGATATTGTGACGTAGAAAGGGCCCGATGTGTAAGACGGGGGCTAGTAGCCACTTTAAATGATGTCGATATATTGATATGATGATAGATCTGGCAGGAATTAACGCAAAATCAAGTCGTCCCCCAGCTCTCAATTGCGCCGGCCCAATCAATCTCCGCCCCGTCATTGAAGGCATTGTTCCACATGTTGCCGATAAAATCTGCTTGAAAATTGTAAAAGGAAGTATTTGGTAACGCATATTGCTCGAGAAACCCTGGGTGCTGCTGCTGTGGTGGCGGCTGGGGCATCAAGTCCATGACCCGTGGGTCATTCGTTATCTCGGGCTGATGGTGCATGACCGGCGCTACCGATACTGCCGGTACTGCTGTCACTGTTGGTATTGCCTGGCTCTGTCGAAGAAGTATCTCTTCTAGTTTGTGAATATACTGAAAGATTCGTGCGCCTGCTTGGCTTGCTGAAGGAAGAGACGGTGCGAGGCTCTGAAGAAATGTGGCCATGGAAGTCCTGACCAGTCAGCATACCTTAGATATAGGACAAGGGGTATGCAGGCTCCAACGTACATGACTTCGCGAAGTTTGTAGTACTGCCAGTCGACCAATTGGCGGGCAATGAAGCTACTAAGCAAGTGGGCGACTCCTGCCAACTCTTGCAGCTGCGTAGCAATATCAGCACAGCATCGGTCAAGTAAGAGAGGAGCATACCATGGGATATCCGATTGCCCGCAAGTACTCCACCGGCACCAGAGTAATCTCTTGTATTAGTTCAAGCGCAGCGCCACAAGCATCTTCAAATTTGTTGTGGCATGCGAATGCCGCCATCCGGAGTAGCTTCGAGTTGATGTTAGCCATAGGACCATTTGCTATGCAAAGATCCGAACCCACCTGAAAGGTACAAGCGATATTGGCCACTTGAAATCCACATAGGTTTGCCTCCACGTCTTTGGACGCCGGATAAGCGCTGGTGGCATATAGAGGAAGATTGCTCTTCTTTCCAAGAACCAGTTGCAACATGTCGTCGATGTTTGGCATAAGTGGTTCGTGTTGAATTGGACCTCTGTCGAGCGTCTTTAGTCGATCTTTGCGCATTCGGACAATGACATGTTCCAGAACGCGATACAGGTCGGTGATGTAGTTCCAGCCGGTGAGCCAGCTGCCATGGCTGAATCGGGTCTTCTCGGTCTGCCCTGACGCATCTATAATTCCGGCTAGGCCGTTGACCTGCTGCGGATATGCAACAGCGCATTGTAGTTCGGGGCACCGAACCACATGGCCGTCGATCAGCGCTGCATGGACTTCTAGACGGTACATTGACCAGAAGAACTGCCGCCTTACATGCTTCTCCGGATATGTAAGATTCGAGGGCCAGCGCGCTTCAAAATGGAAGGTGTGCTGAGCTACTAATGTGTGATAACGGCCCATACACTCATGGAATAGAGGGTCGTCCTTGAGCTGTGTGGCGGCCAGGGATAAAGTGCCAAGAACCTGTAAATACTCAAAGGCTTCGGAACTGCGGATGTCGCGATTTCTCTCCGGAATGGCCCTTTCTGCATCCTGCATATAGGCCTCGTGATGCTCAGGGAGAAGAGGAGTGGGCGTATCCGGGTTGAATAAGGCGCCATCTCTGACGTGACATGAACTCAATGCGCATATGGCCATTAGCCGGGCGAAAGAAGCCCTGCTAGATGACAGGCTGGTTGCCTCCCATTCCTTGTGTAAGGACACCTCGTCGAAAAATGGAAATCTTCAGCCAATGTTAGCTTATTCATTGTAGCACAAAAGATGCAGACCAAATAGGGACGATGGTGGGATGAACGCACACTGGGTATACAGTGTCAAAAAAGATGACGATGAGTCGATAAATGAGCCCTCTGCTCCCGTGGCGGCTCTCGTCGTAGAACCACCTATCGCCATCGGCATCGTCAAAGGATTGGGATTTGTTATTATTATTCACTGAAGACGACGGCGACGTCTTTGATTTGACGCCTCGCTTGGCAGCAACACGGTTCCATGTGCAGGTCGCGCCGTGTTCGATGCAGGTCAGACAACTTGGCGTGCCACCAGGACTGGCGACGGAGGCGACCCCGCCTCCGTCGGGCACGGGCTTGCATTTCCGTCCTCGGCGATGGCAGAAATCGCAGGCCTTTGTGATGCGGCGACGCTTGATGCTGGGCTCGCTGTGCCGTCTGCTATCACCGTTTAGCAGATCGTCGTCTTCCTGTTTCTGGCCCATGATTCGAGCGAGCGCTGGACGCGTCGAATCTGGTCACGGGAGTCCCATCCGGTGACGCGATGGCGAAGGACAATGAGCAATCGGGATGTTTGGCGGTGGATACGATATCCGTACGGATATCTTTCTCACACGAGGGATAACAGGTCAGGGAAAACCGGGTTAAGTTTTCCTACTGTCTGAGCCACGGTGAGGGGCCGCGCACCCCAAGGAATCCTTCTCTGTTCCTCCCTGGTACGGTTGACGGATGCGCAGATCCACCGTCTGGCTACACGTGTGCTAATTGCCGATGAAATGGATGGATTCGCTGAAGAAATGCAGGCCCGATCTCGGATATGTAGATGAATGCGATCCGGAGGGGCACAATCGCCGGGAGGATGCCGTCTCTGTACAACCTCGAAATGGGGGCGGTTTTTCTGACCGGGCTGAAATGTGCTGGAGGAAACAGGCTTTGGCGGGGTTTTTTTCTGCGTTCTCCTTCTTTGCGTCCGAGGAGCGATCGGAAACATCAAACGTAGAATGAGATGAGGAGAACACACGGGCAGATCGAGGTTGAAATTGACACGGCCGGGAGAGTAGTGGAGGTGGAGGGGGAGGGGACGTCGGGTGGACGTGGACTTGGAGCCGCGCCCCAGCGAGCAAACAGTCAATCTGACTAAGCCGATACGTACTCTTTCTTTGTGGCACACGCAGGGACGGGGAAGAAGGAAAGAGCGCTGCGAGGGAAGGCCCGCGGTGTGTTGTTTCCTCCTTCGCGCGATAAGGTAACATCGACCCGCGCCTGCCTTCCGGTGCTTCTGCCTTCCCCAATTAGCCAACCTAGATCACGGGATTAAGGTACTCGCGTACAGTTGTACCTCGCGTTGTTGCCCAATGGAAGTTTTTCAAGAACGGCACTTCGGTACGTACTCGCCGACGGCGCAGCCAGAGGTGGCTGTGCCGCAGCCACTGATCGCATGGCACCCCCGTCACAGTGTCCTTTCTTTGTTCCTCAATTTCAATATTCCATCTTTCCAACACGTTGCGCTGTTGGTTCTACACCGCATCTCTCATCCCCCCGGATCAGGCCTGGAGATAAGCCCGAATTCCGCCCCTGATTCTGTGAGTGGAAAAATTTGGCCGTGGGGGTGGTTCAGCTCACCTCGCATCTTGCTTCTTCCCTTGGTATTGCCCTTGAAGATGTCAATCCAACATGAGCCTTTGACTCTTTGGTGTCGTACTGACTGCGCCGACTGACACACGCCAACGTCATGGGATCTGTGGCAATCCTGAAATATCGAGCTCCCATTCATTGTCAATATCCTGGCTGATCAAATAAGCTCACCCAAGGCCGCCTATCAGTCAGGCGTAGAATCATCTAGACGCGTTCGAGAGAAACCAACGCCAAGTTTCATCTTGAGACCAACACTCGAATGGTGCCGATCACTTCTTAGCACAGACATGGGCACAGGCAAGACATGCACAGACGATCTAAATGTTTGTGGGGTGAAGTGCGACGGCAGGTCCAGCCTGAATCTTGAATTCTAGCCCCCAATGAAAGTCCATCGCCCGATCCGCTTGTGAGCTGGCTGCGATGACACCTCACAACCAGCGCCATTTATTACTCACTCAAAGAAATCGCACGCATATTATTGGGTTGCCAGTTGATCAATCTTGGATACCACATGGTTACAGAGACTCAGAACCTTTTCTTTCATGCACATAATGGTTACGTAGCATGCACCTCGCACTTCCTTCTTGGCACCAAGTGTTCTTCAACCAACCAGATAGCCAGAAAACAAGAAGCTGAACAACATTCCAATTCGCCCCTTACTTATTGCGTGCGGCAATCTTGCACAAACATCAACCAACAATGAATAGCGGTCAGGCGCGATTCTTAGCCCTGCAATCACATTCAAGCTGAACCCTCATCCCACTTTGCGCAGGAGAAACGCCCAGGTGGGAGAGACAAGGGTGTCACTTCTGAAGTCTACGCCGTACTTGGCTCCCGTTGGCCTCGGATAACTTTGGTGTGCACTGGGGTATAGGGAAATTCCAGATTCGTAAAATGCGACTAGACACAATCGAGATCGAATCCGCCTCATCTTCACAGTTTTGAAGAGAAAAGAAAACGTCTGCTTTCGCAATTGCCGCTGATACCCATCATATCTCTTCAGGTCATGCAACGTTACTCGCCTCTTCTTATGTACCTCTCTAAAAGCACCGAGAGTCGATGGCAAAGGCGACTCCGACATGACCTCAAAAATCACACTTCGGACAGAAGGTGCATTGCCAGTTCTGTTCAAACTGAGTAGGACGGCACCAACTTGCCGGTAGATTCTGATTGAGTTTCGGCATTAATCTGAAGTATACTTGAATCACAGTGACGATGAGGATATATTGATCTGATTTTGAGAATGATCGAGGAAAATGAAAGTTTGAAATGAAATTTTCACAGCTCCTCTCTTCTCCAATATCAGCCTACACTGAGAGCTTCGAAAGTCAAAATCTGTTGACGTACCCGTATAATGGGATAGTTAAGTACTCAACTTATTATCCAGATCCAGAGGCATTTCACCGAGACGGGTATCCTTCGGGAAAGGACGCATGTCCAGCATAGGAGAGATTGGAAATCCGCCACTCGGGCTTGGGTATTCTGTACATTTGTCGATGAATTTGGGATCAAGGCTCATTACCGTGCCAATCCGCTGTGTCTGACCACGCAGTCTGGCCAGTTGAAGCGTTGGATCTATATTAAGCGACTCAGGTCTTCTAGCTTAGAAGTTGTGTGTGACGATCTTCACCCAGGCATGATTCTGTGATTATGACCTAAAAAGAGAATTGATGTTGTGCTAGGTAAGAAAACTGTTACCTAAGCCTTGCGCAGTAGAGCAACCAGATACTAAGACAGCTACTGTTCTAACGAGACCGTCGGCATACAAGTCAGCAGGGCAGGGTCTTCCGGCCTGCACGAAGCCACATGCATTAATGGTATATCAAACTGCGTTTATGTATGAAAGGACGATGTCGTTGGGTATAGCCCACGAGTCCTCCGTTGGCTGTAAGTGTATCTGGCGGAAGAGTCGTTCGTATGGTCCATTCGCCTCCCAATTGCCCCTTATGCGCCATCATACTACGAGAAAATCAAGCGAAATATTCAGAGAGCAGCTGATTTCATGACGATACTTTCTTTGACGGGAGATTACTAGAACGCCAGATCAACCACTTTCGGGCAGCAATAAGATCAAAGTTCGACTACCTAGGTATTCACACTCACTTGTTGAGCCATTTCCAATCAAACATCGGAATTATTGATTACTCGAACGAGAAATATCATTCATCGCGGACCTTGCCGCCAAGAAAGCCCCTATTGTAACCATGCCATGAAGTATGTCCCATTGGCTCAGCGGGCTCTAGACATGCACTTTGCCTGTCTCATCATTGTTACATAGGCAAATCCTTTGCTGAGACGCATACCCTTTTTGACTACCGCCAGTGAACCCTGAGCGCCGGGCCGGTGGGCAGCAGCTCGGCTCGAACGGACAACTTCCCCTCTTCATCGGCTAATCGAAAAGAGCCCAAACCATCCCGCTGGCAGCTTGCCGGATGCTTCTGAAGAGGAGCGGAATGTTACATAGCCTAGTGTGTTTTTATGAGACTCACCGGGTCATCGGAGGCATTAATATCATTTCAACACAGAGATTTCACTCCACTTACTCGGATCACATATCGTTGCTCCAATGAGGTTTATCTTTTGAACAATTAATACAGCACGAGGAGTACCGAGCTATGCAGACTCTTTACCCATAATCGTAATCTTCATCCTGGTCTGAAATGGCATGTAAACGTAAGTTTCTAGCTAGTGAATCTGGATATCGGCAGGCTTTTCGGCTCGGGTCAAGGAAGCTTACCCCACCGGGAGGCTTTTGTGCGTAATGTCGATCCCTCTTCTTTTCGGATGACGAATGTCAGCCTAAACAACAGCAGAATTTTGAGCTTCCAATTAAACCTCCCGAAAAAACAAAGTTAGGTTTCAAATTGTACATGAGAAAGAAGTCTAGCCCGGAACTTGATCTTGAATTTGCTCGCAGGGCTCAAAATCGTTCTTGATCGGAAGAACTCTGCTGCGTCGAATCTACCGTCATCTGCGGGATCGCTAAAGATCATCTGGACGGTGATATCTGTGTAATAAAACTGTGAAAGTAAGAAACCGAGAAGGCTGCGATGTCACAGCTTTCGAGCTGCGGCTACCGTTGTGGGCCTGATTGCCGTTTCCCCTCTCATGAGATCAGACAGAAGTAACAGAAGTATGTGTGGCACCGAAATGTAGCTACAGGCCTCATCTAGACACTGTTCCAGCATGCTCGAGGTGTATTTGTGGTCAGTTACCTACCTAGTTCATGGGGAAACATGCCTCAGTCTCTGGTATTCTCGTTTCCGGACGCTTTGTCATGGTCGAGATTGCCTGCTTGCTGAGATACGCAAACTTCAGCGAAATGCGATAACTGCCTCAACTTGAATCAAGACGAGTTGCAGACTATGCCCGCTTGTAGAGAGCTATCGTTGCGCGTGAGAATGAAAAGTATGCTCTCGGAAGTAATCTCGGAGATGATCTTGCCAAAGCTATGAATCGAGCTATGTTGGTTATTGAATCACACCGAGTTCGGTTTCTCTGATTCCACCACGCTGGGTGGCAAAACGACACTGATGGAGTAAGTAGCCATGGCCATCCCTGACCCAGACTGCAACGGTTACTGGTCAATTCGGAAGGTTCTTTACAGTGTATGACTCCTCGATCCACTATGGAATCAGCTGGGAGTAATTTACATGTTTCTGACAAAAGTCTAGTGCCAAAACCTCCGCAGCTTCTCGACTAGGTACCTTGCGATGCAGTCACTGAGCAAAGCGCGTCAACGCCCAGGTGTCTCTTGGGCACTGAACTGTCTGCGGCAATGATTTCGACTTTCCATTGCCTTGACTCCGCGACGGCCTCGCAATTACTCCTCTGAATAAAGAGGGGAATACGGCCCTGCGTTTGACCATGGCTACTTCTTCGACTCGAGAGAAGAAACCTCCGGTCAAGATTTCAAGGTTGAATCATGACCTCCGTGAAACGCAATCGGCCACGGAGTGTCTTCTCAACATCTCTAATCGGGCTCGTCGACTAATTAACCCCGAGGTATCAAAGCTCGGCACCGCTACACTCCCCGGTAAAACTCGGCCACGTGTACGCCCTACCAAAGCCGGCCGAGAAAAAGTCTCCGTGCGCCTGTAACCTACCGCATCCCCCACTCGACTCGGCATCTCGAAGACCTTGTGTTCAAAGTTTCTCATGTCATCTGTGCTCCTCGAGACATAGTGGCTCGCTCGACGCCGAACGTGACAAGGTATTCCCAGCCGCTCGTAATCCATCCAGCCATCACACTGCCCGTCCCTCGGTATCTACGACCTGTTTACCCGCCAAGGCTGTCGTTCTGCCTCGCAAGTTTGCTCGGTCTCGCTCGCTATCGTGTTTCATGGCACCGCGCGACACGTAACTATGGGATTGACAACGCGCCCGTCATGGACTTGGCGTAATGCGTGCCGTGCGCTCCTTTTCCATTTACAAAGAGTACGCGGGGTTTTTTTCCAGCACTGGTTTAACTAAGTATGGGCCTCTGGACTTCTTGGCCTCCTATGTTTCCTGACGATAACATTTGGTAGGCAACCATACTCGTATAGAATCCGAGGGATATGGACTAACAAGCCAATAGCTGTCATATGAGTATGGTCTCTTTTGTGCTAGGCCATCTTGAGCCTTACGTCCCTCGGACCTTTTGGGGCGCAGCTTGTAAGGTTCAATGGTGCGGCCGTCTGAACAGCAGCAAGAATTCAAGCTTGTCCAGTCCCTTGAACTCTGTCCTTGAGTTAGCAGACAATACAGATGGTGCGACGGCTTGTATGTACCTAAATGCCTCTTTCGTGGTGTAGTGATCCCACAGAACTGGTTGAGGCTAAAAACTTTCGCCGAGTAAAGTTCGTACCTTGCAGCTATCGAAGTAGACATGATGCTTGTTCGACTACCTACACGACTTTACGGATTTCAAATCGTAAAGCTGGCACCGGTATATCGGATTCGTATTATAGCAAAGGATGGTCTTCAAAGCGAGAGGAGTATTTGGACCCATGTTAGCACAGACGCTGTCGACGTGTCGGCGCCCTAGATCGGCAGGGAGTTCACAGATCATGGACTCCTAGCCCCCAACTTGGCATCTCAAGTGCCATGACTGGGAAGAGATGACACTGGCGTACTTTCGACAAGATGCTCTGATATGAGCAAGTTTCGCAAGCGCTCCTGATCGACCTGAATGGCGGGTGTGGGGGCCCTGCTCTAGCTGAAGAGAGTGATGCTAATGAACATTGGACCAGTCACAGCGCTATGAACTAGATCCTCCATTCGGCCAGACCTCGCAAGGACAGAACAATCTAATTAATGAGGCGAGACCGGGACCTCTATCGTAGAGTTGATTTCAACTTGGTTAGAAGAGTCAGATAGATTCTGTCCTAAAGGCTGGCTTGAGGTGCAGAATAAGGTTGTGCCGAAAGGTTGTTTGGCACCACGACAAAACGCCCATGCAGGGAGATCCCTCGTCCGGACACTTGCCAACTGAGGGGGTTTGCAGATCAACCGAGCGATCACTCGCACAGGCGGGAAAAAGGCGCGAGTCATCGGCTCGGCGTTCCGAGACTGCTCCCCTGTTTACTGACTTACGCCGAGTGTAAGTGGTCTTTACGAGTAAACAGTCCATGTTAGCGTTTAGAGTTCTTCGTTTCACGAAAACCGTTTTGTTCTATGAATCTTGGCTCCAGACCTTACCACAACATTATTTTAACCTTAACGACTAGTCGCAATACAAAGGAGGTAGACTAACAGCCCCAAAGTCTAAGTCAATAACCGCGTCGTCTAATGATGGCCGTCCGTTTGCTATGCTTGCATGGGGCTGTTGATCGAGGAGTGGGGCTATCGTCCGACTGAGGATGTAGCACGGCAACATGAACTCTCATGAGTCGGCAGATCGTGGATCATTATCGCTTCAGGCTTGAGAGGGCAGGTGTCACTGCGGGATGAACTGTGGCTGGCGTCGATTATAAAAGGATGAAGCCATTCCCTTCCTCAACGGCTTTCTCTTTGTTCATCAGCTCACTTGACTGCCATCTCTTGTATCAAACTTCAGCCTCTCCAGCTTGCTCAAACACTCTATCAATTCGTCTCCTACAGAAAAAACACCAATTCAAATTTCTTCAAATCTTGATCATCAACCGCCAAAATGCGTTTCTTCGCCACTCTCTTCCTTGCCACCTTGAGCGCTACCGGTGTCGTCACGGCCATGCCCGTCGCCCAGCCTCATGATCTGACTGCGCTCGCCGGAGAGGGACTCCAGGATGCTGCCCCAGTTGAGGCTCTCGACATTGAGACCAACATCGAGACCAGAGAAGCCAGGGGCCCCAATACTCCGGCTGATGTTGCGAAGCACGACGCCAACCACAAGAAGCAGGACGCTAATAACTGTGGAAAAGGCTGCAAGGACTCGCTTGCCTCGTATCACTCGCAAGCATCCAAGGATTCTAAGAACTCCAAGAACTCGAAGAATAGAAAGAACGGTCGCCGCGCGGTCGAGAATGCCGAGAATGCCGAGGATGCTGAGGTTGAGGAGGAGGTTGAGGCTTGAATTAGTCGGAATTAGCCTTGACACTGAGATGGTCTTGTTCTCGTGCTGGTAACGGTGCAATGGAGTTTTGGATACACGGGTTATACAGTACAAGCTGTGGCTAGAGCTATAAATAAATGTTTACTTCTTACCTCACGTACGTGCTCACATACGTGATCGCAGCGGGATATTCACGGGGATTGGTTGGCGGGCAGCGCGCAGCTTGTGAGCCACGATGCCATTCCGTTGGAACGAGTCTTGTACTCTTGTTTAAGTAAGGATCTGCCTCATGCTTCCTACTTCCTCTCCATCTCCCCTTCGACTCTCGCCATCTCCAGCCTATTCAGGCCTCATTCACTCCAAGGCAGTGGTGTTGGCCGCTAGCCAGTGCCCGAATTCCTGAATGATGTTCATCGTGTCATACAGAAATGTGTGAATCTGCCTCGACTAATTAGCAGCTGTTTCCGAAAGGCACATATGCGAAACCTACGAAACCCATCCCGGGGAGGAGGGGAAGAACATCGCGACGCTCTCCAAGCCGCTCGTATCCAAAGTTGGCCTGCTGCGCAATCGTAGTGACTACCATGGCCGAGAGAAGGACGCCACGGATTTTCATCATCGTGACTTGGTTTCCGATTCTTCGAGAGTGCGATTTTATGTGATTGTCGCGTGATAGCTGATGTTCGACGATTTGACGATTTCGAGACACTGGGTTCTGATGTTCTAAACGCGTGTTTGTGATAATGTTTGGCCTGCTGATCGCCAAAAGAACACCCCGAAGTTTGGAAAAATACAAATTTTGCAAGTGGTGGAATGTTTTCCCGCCTTTTGAAGGCATCTGCTTAGTCGTCGAAACTCAGACCAGTGAATCACTGTTCATTGAGCGCGGGGCTTGCAAAGGTTGCGATCCGGATTTTGCACGGGAGCGTCTCCCAAAGAGCCAATACCTCATATCCACGGCGAACTCGGATTTGAATGTATCAAAACATCGCCTACAGTCATTCGACTTGGAAGGAATCCTAACTTGAGTCATCCTACTAGACAGAAAGTGTAAGTACCTACATAGAAATCTGGATGTCGCGGACCGGTTCTAGATGCCAAACAACACATTGGTCACGGTGAGAATGAGGCTCTTTGACTTAGCAATGCTCAACAAGACACACGAAAATAAGAAGAAGAAGAAGCATTTTCAACCAAGGACAAGGGTGGAGGATTTCGGTTCCATACGCAGCCAATCAAACTTCCGTGTGGTCACCGAAAAGCTGACAGGTTGCCTCAATCTGCCTGTTGACTGTGCCCGAGACAGCAACCTTCTGCAGCTAGAGGGTTTGGGCCTAGTCGAGCTCCTCTTGTCTTACACCAGCTAACACCATACCGCTTCAGGCCGCAGATGGGCTTTTTCCAGATCAGTTTCCCATGAGGCACAGCCGCAACGCCATGAGGCAGCCAGGGGCTTTCCGCCATTTCCAGGGCAGCAAGCACCAGGCAGATTCGCATTGAGATGGGGCGACGTAAAATACATGGCCTCTATGAGACTGGAACTCGAGTGCATAAGTGCCATGATCGCCGACGCTCCGCTCTGTCCTTGTACGATTCGAGAATTGCGCATAGCGACTTGAACACAAGCAGCTGCAGTGTGATGCCAATACACAGGCCAAGATGCATCTCAAAAGCTTCACCTCCTTTACATCGATCAAAGAAATTGTTCGTTGTAAACGCGTCAAGCAGAAATCCAAGCGTAATGAAAAGAATCGGAAGCGTAGCAAATCAAGGAAGAACAAAAGAAATAAGTTTGTGTTGTCCAGTCCTTTCATGCACTCGGGTTCCATGTTCACTCGACAAGGAGCATGTTCGGGTCCACATTCAGGCTAACATTTGACACACCTTAGGGAGAAAAGGTTCGAGCCTAAAAGCCAACAGGAGGCCCAACATCAATTCTTAGATGAGGACTCGGAAGGGCAAGTTCCAGACCCATACTTGGCTTGGAACCTGGCGAGCATTGCACCGAAAACTTTCGCACAGCCGCCCCCGTGGCGAAGGCCAAGTCATCTAGACGACGCGTTACATGTCGACTCAGCTGAACTCTGTCATCCAGTTTTTGAAATTCCGCCTTTCAGCCACCCATCTCCAAACCCGACTCGATCTTCTACCTTGAGCTCATTCTTGAGCAGCAGCGGAACTTCTCTGAGTTCTGCCACATCAAAAATCAGGTATCTATTCCGACGTCGACATTCAGATACTGGGATTCCAAGACCATCGCCACTTTCACGGCAGTCGGAAAAGCGGAACTCCGTCCCAGGTCTATCGCCCACCTTCCCCAGGCCCATTACGGAAGAGAGCCGCCAAGAAATCGTGACTCCTCAAGATCAAGGGGTAATCATAAGATCCATCGTACCGAAACAGGAAGCATCGAGGCCCGCTGGAGTCATGGCGCAACAGCCTGTCGACCTCAAAGCACTACGTGAGCATCTTAACGCACTGAAGTCTACATCAAAAGCCTTCGTAGACATCTGGGATTCGAAAGTGTCGCCGAACTTCGATCAAGATCTAAGAGATAGTGTCGGATATGATTGCGGCTACGTACTCGGGAACCGCCCTGGCAAGGGAAGCGGCACCAGAGTTGTCGAGGTTATGACGCCCAAGGAGCTTCCTGGAGACACCAGTAACAAGATCCGGAGCAAGATCTTGTTGTATTTTGCGGAATCCAAAGAGCTTCAGGACACAATCACGGTCGAGTTTTCCATCGGGCACGTCGGGCGTGCTGCAGGCGCACTCGCTTCGAGTCAGGACGCAGATAACGAGCTGAAGAAGCCTCGAAACTGTCGCAAGCACAGCGAGAGACTGCTTGGGGATTCTGTCAGCTTTGAAGAGAGCGATTGCGCCGCAACCCTTGGACCAGCTATCAGACTCGGCGGCTGTAATGGCTGGATTGTCAACTGGCATATGTTCCATGGTATTGAGAATTGGAAAGAGCTGGATAATCCGTACCCGGTGCCGCGCTACGGTTTGTTCCACCCAGCCTACATTGATTGCAACGAGGACGAGGGACCACTACAGATTGGGGAGCTTCAGGCTTACTCAGGACGGATGTACAGAACAACTCGTCCATCGAGATCTCTAAGCCATTTTGCGCCAAGTGTTCAGGGAGAATGCAAGCCAACTACGCAAGTAGTTACGGATTGGGCCTTTTGCAAAGCCGAGAAAAATGAAGTTCAGAACTGTCTTCGATATGCACCATCGGGTATCGAGGTTGATGATCGTTCGGACCCAATCCCAGGAGCCTTTGTGCAACGCCCCCAACTGCAGATTGTCCAGACAACTGGCCGAAGTAGTGGATTTCGATATGCTGTGGTATGCGAGACACCTGCCAAAGTCCGCCAATACCCACATATGCCTACCCGGGAATGGTGTTTGATGAACCTTGGAGATCTCATGCTGGTCGAAGACTGGAATTCCGAGGGTCCCGGCGTGTGCGGTGACTCGGGTGCCGCCGTAGTGCACGATGAGACGGGAGAACTGATCGGCCAAATATGGGGTCGAAATGTTTACGAAGGTCACCGGCAAACTCCCAGGGTGACATACTTCACACATCACTGGGACATTTTCGACGATATCAGTGAGAGATATCCCACTTTGGAGGGCCCCTCCCTCATCCTCAAGCCGATGTGCCATCCCTCGAATAGAGCGAATGTAGGAGATGGAGCTCCCAACCCTTCGAATGTGGAGGCCGACGAGAGGACTTTAAATCCATCGCGACCGCGGAGCCGGGCATGTTCGTCCACGGGTGGTGCCGATGGAGTAGTTGAATCCTTCTCTCAGTCAACTCTAGCACAGAGTGTGACCAATTCGATAGGATCTGGTGAAGGCAAGGCAAAGAAGACCGATGTTGGAAAGGCTTTGGAGGGCGAAATGGGATGCGGACATCGAGACTCTCATTCCCGTAATGCTGCTAGAACCTCGGCGGATGATGACACCGATGTACTGGTAATGCGACGGAGCTCGGCGATGGTGACAGCTTAAACCTCTTTTCTTTTTCTTCTTTAAGCTTTTTAGATCGCAAGCGTCGTTTTTTTCGAGATTTACAAAGCTTCGTATCCTTGCATACTCAAGTCAGCTAACCGATGCCATGCATCAAGGCCCAACTTGAATCCATTGATGCTGTGTCAATACCTTTTATTAATTCGAAGCGCGCTCAAGAATGTCTTTTGTGGTGTGATTCCTATCTCATCGGACCCGGCGAACTCAACTGTTAACTCCCCGACTCTCCGACGCGGAGTGGAGCGCACGGCGTTGCCGGAGGAAGCTTTCGCCTAAGAGCGATGTTATCGGGAATTTCGGGTGCGGGTTCTCATGCAAAGCTAAGTCGTTGTAGAGATTGCGCTGGCTGACTCGAAATACCCTGTAATTGATGTCTTAAGGCACCCTAGAACCTAACCCGGCCTGGATGGAGGAAGACGCATTCGATATTGCGGCCTCTCAAACTGCTGTTTGAGTAGGTACTTAGCTCCGCCATTCGAGTTCCAGCGTATTGAGTGACGCATAGAGCATCTCCATCGGTGATCTGAAAGAACTCGTGTACGAAGATCTGGAAGGGCGACGAACGACAAGTGGAGGAGGGATCATCCGCGAAGCCGTAATTTAAGCTCGGTGCCCCCCTTATACGAAGGCGGTACCGAAATTGCAGCATGCGCTAAGAGGGGTTAAACCGAGTAATACGAGAAGATGACCATGGTATTTTGGATACTTGTGGGTTGAAAACCGCAACATAATTGTCAACTTGAATCCTTTGCTTCGTACACCGATTCGATACTCTAGCAACTCGCCATCATGAAGGGTTTCACCAAGAGCGCCGGATATCTTGCGTTATTAGCAGCGCTGGTCAGCGAGACCATCGCTCTGCCAGTTCAAGATGCGCCGCTAAGAATCGAGTGGCGATCCCTGTCAAGCGCCGCAAAAGCAGACTACATCAGCGCAGTAAAGTGCTTAGATGGGTTGCCGTCAAAGATCGGTCTCAAATCGTCGCGATACAACGACTTCCCCTATGTCCATGCGCAGCTCAACAATGAAAGTGCGTCCTTTCTTTCCAGGCGTCAACATTTGGCATCATGCTAATCAACGATCGCAGTTCATTTTGTCGCTCAATTCCTCCCCTGGCATCGGTACTTTGTACACATCTATGAGACAGCCTTGAGAGATGAGTGCAGGTACACAGGCCCAATGACCTACTGGGACTGGACCCTTGACTCTGAAGACATGTCTAAGAGCCCCGTTTTCTCCAACGACACCACCATCGGATTCGGAGGAAACGGCCTGAATGGCGGTTTAGTCTCGCCAACGCGACCGAACCCGTTGACCATGTGCGTAATTGACGGGGCTTTCGCCAACTTTACCGTATCTTACTACACAACGACAGCGCTCTCGCATTGTCTGAATCGCGGTTTCAATGACGGTATTGGGGTGAATGCCGGCCCTTACGAAGGCGGCTTGTACTCGCCCGAGAAGATCTCAGGAATCATCAAAACCTCTAGCAACTTTTCTACATTCGCGACTACTTTGGAAAACGGGCCCCACGGCGCGATTCACTCAGCCGTTGGAGGAGACCTGTTCCCTTCGACATCTCCAAACGGTAAGCCCTCACCACCTACGTTGTTCCGGCACCTGAAGACTAACAGAGAGTACAGACCCCTTGTTCTTCCTCCACCATGTGCAGATCGACAGACTTTGGTGGCTTTGGCAGCAGGCTGATCTCACAAATCGGATGCTGGACTTCTCGGGACGAAGGAACCTGCCCTCGGGGGAAGCTGATACCCGGCCAGCGTCTCTGAACGACACGCTGCCAACGCTTGGCTTGGCGGCCGATATCCCCATTCAACAAGTCATGTCAACAACGACAGACTTGCTGTATTACAAGTATTAGTGTAAACATTTCAAGAACTACTTTGGGGACAGCTGTTCGAACTGAAAGCATCCTGCCTCTTAGTGCTCACGGCGCTTCACTTTCAGCTGCTGTTGGAGGGCTCCTGCAGGAATCGCCGCTTATCCATGCAACCACAGGGGCCCATTCCTTGAAGGAAATGGAAGAAGATAAACCTATGAGATGCCTGTGAATTGCCTCCTGATGTTGCTTCGAATCATCCTAAGGACATGATTCGCCTGATGTCTTTTGCGCCCCCATCTGGCCCTTGAAGCCACCCAATGGCGAGCGGTATGCAACGTGGCAGCCTAGGGGTGCAAACGATCTTTAACAAGAAAACAGTTCGCATGTTATCGACGCGCTCAAGCGATAAAGCTGAACCGTAGACCGCAGCCGTTTGACAATTTTCGCCATAGGTCTTCGGCAGGGACATTGATATCAGAAGCAACTTTGCAAAGTTGCAGAGCTCAGGACGTCAAGATGATCTGCTCTTGTTGTCGCCACGTCCTTGAGCTCAGGAAGGACTACGCGCTGACCAGTAACGAGCGAGACGGCGCGGATCACCTCATACCGCATCACCGCGATAGCACAAGTCTGACGGCCTCTGTGGACGCTGGATGTTATATTTGCAATCGGCTTTGGGCCGCTCTGGATATCGAAGAGCGATGCAAGGTCAGGCAGTCAAATGGTGAACCGACGAAACGAAAGACTCCAGCAACCGAGTCACCTCTCACCTCGGTGTTTTGGGAAGACGGAGCAGCACTCGCATATCCCCGCGCCTTTTTACTACAACTCACTTTTGACCGAGGCAAAGTTATGGATCTAGAGAGAAATCCAAGCAAAGGGTTTTTCCGCGCAACCGTTCTGCTTCTTCCACAAGAATGTATGTTTACCTGCTGCGAAATAACACCTCTTGACATCAATTATGCGTCCTCGGATGTTGATCTTAAGACATAGTCTACGCGTCTCAATACCAAATCAAATCCCACTCCCGTAGTACAAGATCCGAAGGAACCTTTCATGTCGCACAGAGATGGATTACGGAATGTCTAGCTGAACACCCACAATGCGGTGCCAAACCAAATGCATCTACCACTACGCAGTGGTACCCCAGCCGCCTCCTAGATACAGGACCTCTAGACCAGGAGAGCTCAAGTTGCCGACTCGTCCTACCGAACATCACCCCTGTCCAAGGCTCTTACGCGACACTCAGTCATTGTTGGGGTACGAAGGAGTCTTTCAACCTTACAACAAGCAACTACGCACAACTACAGCAGGAAATCGCATTCGACACCCTCCCTCCCCTGTACCGTGACGCCATGGAAACGAGTCGTCGCCTTAACATTCGGTACCTGTGGATCGACTCCCTGTGTATTATTCAGCACGGTGATGACTTCGTTGACTGGAAACAAGAATCAATGCACATGGACAAGATCTACTCGGGGTCCTTTGTCAACATTTCAGCTGCCGATGCCCCAGACGCGAACCACTCCCTCTTTTACGACCGCAATCCCGATGCTCTGTGTCCGCAGATTGTAGAGCTTCCTGTTGGTTCACAAACTAATCGCTTTCTCTTGATGGACTACAACTTCTGGAGGACAGAAGTTTCCAGCGCGGTCATCAACACAAGAGCCTGGGTGCTCCAAGAGAGACTCCTCTCCCCTAGAGTGCTTTACTTTGGTCAACGGCAAATTCTATGGGAGTGCCATCAAAAAGAAGACGCTGAGATTTATCCGGAAGGCTTACTGATAGATCTATCTCGATTTCCCAGTCGGTTCAAGGGCTTCTGTCACAACCAAATGGGTTGGAGACCCCGGGATCACGGCGATCTGTCAAAGTACCATTACTGGTGCAACATTGTGAATACCTACACTCGAGCTAAGTTGACATTTCCCGGCGATAAGTTGATTGCACTTTCAGCTGTCGCGAAGGCTATGAGAGTGTTACTTCAGGATAGCTATGCTGCAGGGATGTGGCGCCGCTATCTAGAGCGGCAACTGATGTGGTCTGTCGCTGTCGGCGAGGCGCAAGCTAGGCCATCAGTCTACCGGGCCCCAAGTTGGTCTTGGGCGGCGGTAGATGGACACATTACTCCGGGTATCATGGACGTCGAAGCAGTGGAGATGTTGATCGAGGTACAGGATCTACATCTCGACTATGTTACAAGCGATACAACAGGCCTGATCAGCGGTGGGTGGCTACAGCTCTGGGGGTGCCTCAAGAAACTTGAGCTTCTGCCCGATGCCTTGTTCAGCAGTCATAGCAACAACTACGAGTTCTTGATGATGATTGTTAACGGCGTTTCGGTCAGTGTCCGCGCTGATTCAGTCATGAAAGAATATCAACCACACGTTTATCTCGATGACAACCAGCAATGGGTTAGCACACAGAACCATCGACCGGAACTATTCTGTATGCCAGCCAGAACAAGACCAGGCAATGACGGAAGCATCTACATGCTATTGCTGCAGCTTAAAAATGGAAAAGACGGCACCTTTCGTCGCATTGGAATCGCCCGCGGTTGGGGCAAGGAGTTGAGAGAGAGCTTGCTAGCAAGCAATGCGGAAGAGAGTACCTTGCCGTGCGTAAAGTATGAGGGAGGTCGACACCTAGTTCGGATCGTTTAGTTGGGCGGGGCCACCATAACGACTAGACGCTGTGCACAAGACGAAACAGTAAGAGCCAAAGACGATACGATGGGCATCATGGGCATCTGCAGATAGAGGATGAATGGAAGAAGTAGATCACCATCCTGAGCGATACAAGATGAGACAGTGCATGTGTCACTCCAACTTCCAGTAGTTGGCTTGATAGAATGTTACCTTAGTTTATGTTGTCTCAGGCGAGTTGGTGACTCGAGTTGCCTGAAGTCGAGATAAAGTCTACCCACTGAGATATAGTCATCCTAAGCACTCTGCTAAAGTGCTTTAAGTACACAACGAAGTCTGCCCGAATTTACAGGCTGAGAAAGAAGAGGTCACAACTAACGTAGCAAGCACGCACGACAGAATGCATGGATGCTACTCAATTCGATTGTCGAAAATAAGGCACTCATTTAGAGTTGCTATAAGCTGGGGCGGACGCTGCACATCAGCGGGTATTCGAGGTTTTAGCGCACAAAACAAAAAGACAGCCCATCGGCACGTCTCGGTCCAACGACTGTCGCCATCCCACCCCAGCGAGCACGACATCAACAAAATCCCTTTGGCTTTCCTCTTTCTCACCACCGGTTCACTTGGCACTGCAACAACGCCGCACCGCAGGGCAAACGACCAGCCCCCCTCGATTGACTCCACTGCTGTCTTAGTTGGGGCCCCAGGCTCTCACCTAACTTGAGAGGACTGCCAAGCAACTTGCAATGAGGGCCGTGTTCAAAGGCCCCAAACGACCTTCCATAACTGGAAGGCCTTCGGACTGAAGTCACTGAACCTCTGGCTGCGTTCGCCGCTGCCCAGACAGCCCAGCCTGCTGACGCTCTCTTGGCGGCGATGCTCATCTCACTTGACCTGGCCACTCCAAGACAGATACGCATTTTCAAGGCGTAGAACAGCACTGATAACTGGCTGAAGCTATCCTCGCGAGCTTGCCGGCATTTATGACGATTCAGCCTCAAGAGGCAGCTCAGGGAGCTTGAGAAGCCATAGCGACCATCACCTCGTATCAAGAGTGTCAGCCACGGCAGCACATACTCCCGAGACAACACCCATGCTCGATTCCTTCTGGAAGCACGCAAAGTTTTTAAGATTTGGCTGATTGGAGTGGAGCAATGGATGTTGGCTCATGAGGCTATTTTGTGGTTTCCGCAAGATCTGGTTCGTCAGAGCTACGGTGACCCCCGAGACTCATCAACATTCGAACCTCGATAGGTCGCTTTCATTAACCTTGGGTGCTCTTTCTCTCGCCCGTCTACTCCTTGGTGTCCCGCCGTGCCGCCCTCGTGGTACCAGGCAGCGAGTCGGTTCGCAGGTCGAACCTTGCGTGACGTTACAGTGCCATGACGTGCGGGGACCTCTGCAAAGCCTGGGATGATCACTTTCACCGTTTGTCTTGGGTTGCGACGCAGCAACGCAGCATTGCAGCCGTTAGCTGTCTGCGAGGCAGGGACACATATATAGCACCCGTCGGCCTCTCGAAGAACCACCCGCTTGCCGATCCGCTTGTGTTAGCTTGGAGCTCTGCATATTCTTTCATTGGAACTCCTACCGGGAGTGCTTGCCAGCACGTGAAAGCCGTGTACATCACAAGAACTCGAGCTCGGCCGAATCTCACTTCCCGCGCCGACAGCAAGCTATGAGTTCACCACTCAAATACGATCATCATGTCGGGGAGGACAGGCACGTCGTACGGGACGATGCTTCGGCGGAAGAAGTAGGAGTGGTCAAACAGCAGGAAGTTTACGCCTTCGATGAGTCGCGCAAGATTGGTGTTACTGGCGCGGTCTTCCTCATTCTAAATAAGATGATCGGTACCGGTAGTAAGTAACAGACGGTCGATCACGATGAGGATAACACTCACACCCCGTTTCTCAGTCTTCTCTACTCCCTCCGGTATCTTCCAGTCAACTGGCTCCGTCGGCGTCGCTCTCATGCTATGGGTCATCGGTGGTGTCCTGACCTTCTGCGGTATGAGCGTCTTCCTCGAATTCGGCCTCGCCATCCCTCGATCCGGCGGCGAAAAGAATTACCTCGAGCGCGCCTACAAGCACCCCAAATACCTAGCGACCTGCGTGCTCGCTTCGCAGATGATTCTCCTCGGCTTCTCGTCCGGAAACTCCCTTGCCTTCGGCCGATACATCTTATTCGCATCGGGATCCGAGTCCCCGGATGGTTGGACCGCCCGCGGCATTGGTATCGCTGGCGCCACCTTCGCCGTCGGCATCCACGCCATTACACCTAAATGGGGTATCCGCCTATTCAATGTCTTGGGCGTCTTCAAGGTCATTGTCTTACTCTTCATCGTCTTCTCCGGGTTCGCCGCTTTGGCTGGCCGACGTCGCGTGCCAAACCCCCACAACTTTGACAATGCTTTCCGAATCGAAGAGGGAGAGGGCTACGGTAACGGTGGTGTCTATGGATACGCGACAGCTCTGCTTCGCATCATTTACAGTTACAAGGGCTGGGAGAATGCCAACTACGTTGTGGGCGAGTTGAAGAACCCGCGCAAGACTCTGGCTATTGCTGCACCTCTGGCCATCGGCGGCGTGACAATTCTCTACGTCCTTGCAAATGGTGGGTTCACTTCGCTATTCAAAATCGGGGGGTTTGTTTGCTCGTCGACTAACCGTGGTTTCTAGTTGCGTATTTTGCCGCCATCCCCAAGACCGAGCTCGCCACGTCCGAAGTCATTGTTGCAGGTGTCTTCTTCCGCAACGTCTTTGGTAACAGTGCCGGTGCCAGAGCTCTTCCAGCGTTCGTCGCCATCAGCAACTTGGGAAATGTGCTTGCCGTCAGTTTCGCCCATGCTCGGCTGAACCAAGAGTTGGCAAAGGAAGGCCTCTTGCCATTCAGCACCTTCTGGGCATCCAACAAGCCATTCAATGCTCCGGCTGCAGCCGTACGTGCCCAGAATCTGCATCACATGTTCTCAAGCTAATACACTACTAGCTTTTCCTCCATTGGATCGTTACTGTCATCGTTCTTGTCGCCCCTCCTGCAGGGCCAGCTTACAACTTCATTACAGATCTTTACACGTATGTCTAGTCCCTCAAGTTGAGTAACAACTAAGTATTTACTGACACATAAACAGATATCCCGGCGCATGGATAAACGCGTTTGTTGGGATGTAAGTTGTCCTGGGAGATTGACTTCATTGAATATCAGCTAACATCACTACCAGTGGTCTCCTTTACCTCCAATGGAACAAGAGAGAGAACTGGACATCACCTTGGCACACCTACTTCCCCATCACCATCCTCTATGTCCTTGCCAACGTGTTCCTCTGCATCGTTCCCTTCATCCCACCCACGGGATCGTGGACTGCAGAGGGTTACCCGTACTACGTCTTCCCAATTGTTGGGGTGGGCGTGCTCCTTCTTGGCGGTGTATACTGGGGTTTCTGGACCAAGATCTTCCCCGCTATTGGTGGCTATAAGGTCGTGGCTGAGAGGACTTATGACGAGGAAGGTCATGAGGTTATTCGATACCGTAAGGTTAGCACAAAGCACGGCCACTCAGGGCCGATCGATTGAAGCCTTCGCCCATAGATAGCTGGAATGGTTGAAGCCGCCATGGTTGAAACTACTGCTCACGTGTTATGTTATCTTTACCAGCATGTACCCACATATGGAACCTCCTAACAACTTGAAACCTTGGTTGGTCGTAATTATGTTGAGGGCGTGTGTTGGAACAGTGTAATATTTGTTTGTTAAGAATGACTGTAGCCATGATCGCTGACTCAAGGGATTCGAAACATGACAACACCGCTTCACATTGGAACTTCGGCTTTAACGGTTTGTTCGAGTTCACATGTATATGTAAAGATTGTAATGATATCAAGTTTAACTCATTAGACAATTGTCTCAAACACTAATCATACAGCTCCTAATCCAAACGCCGCGCACCCCAAATGTAATCGCTTGTGATTTACTCAAGACGCTTATCCTCCAACCCCTCGGTGTCACCGGGCTCGCGGTATTCGCCAGTAGGCTTAGCACCCCGGGTACGACCTTCCACGATATTGCTCTTATCGATGGCCTCCTTGTCATCACGCTCTGTAAAATGCGTCAGGAATTCATGCTACGTTCAGCGAGGTCGAACTTGGACTTACCTAGCTGAGCATCGGAGTTGGCAGTCTCAGCATCAATAGGGTCCTCGACTTTAGCATCGTCGCCGAGAACACTGATGGGCTCACGGTCACCCTGGCGGGACACGTACTCGTTGTCCTGAACATCTCCGGTGGGGGCTTCGGAAGACATAATGATGTTGGGATGTTATGCCAAACTTAGGGTATTGATGCAGGTTGGAAAAGGTTGCCGTCTACTGGGCTTTAAAGTTGTAGAGTGTTGTTGTTGTTGTTGTTGTTGATGTTGATGAGTTGCGACTTTTCCTCCACATGTTCAGGGCCCTTTCCTCAGTTCATATACAAATCCCTCTTCACTATCAACAATCATAATCGCGATCTAAGCTGCAAACACCATAGTAACGAATGTTGAGATCATTGTCGAGCTCACAGATTGTCTATAAGTCTATGACGCTGTCATTTACGCGTAGAAACGCGCATCAAAGGGGCACCGACCTCCCTGGCGCATCACCACCGTGCAGAAATCAATTAAAGTCGACTTGCACGCGACATGGAGCAAAGTGTCCGATGGCCCCCTTAAGCTAACGGCGCCACGTTTGATTGCAGCAAGCATCTCAAAGCGATGGTCTAGCCGCCTGGCGCGCGTTGACAGATCTACCTTAGTCTCATGGAATGATGGAGCCTATGGCAACGAGCGCCAGCCGCCTCAATAAGGTGCTCTTAGCATGGGAGTGTGGCCAAATAAGACTACTAGGTATCCGTACGGGTACCGGTAGTCACCTTCGCTTCAGCCTCGTTCCCGGGTCTTGAACCCCATCGATTGTCCCTGATCGATCGCATGAAACCCGATTGGACAATGGACGAAAGTCATGATGCTTTTTGGATTCGGTGGAAGCCCAGCCCCCGACTTTATTTTCGGTGAGTCCGGGGGCCGCACCGGTATAGCTGATATCGCACTATCACTCCTCAACATCTTGAGCTCTCG